AAAAATCCGGTACTTTTGAAGTTATACTACTTTTGGTGCGTTTGTGAAAAATGATGAGTTAATTTTAACGATGCGCGTGCAACGTCACGAAAAAACCGTAAAATTGAAATATAACTTCTTCAGATTCTTGTAGAATATATTATTACGTTTAATTTATCTTAGAACATTTTATTATAGAAGATTTGGAAACAGTATATTTAGTAAGGCTAAGACGATAATTTCTATAATAAAATGTTTTTTTAGATAATTGATAGAAAAGATTCAAAAATTCTAGTTGATAATGTATGCCGTAATAAATTATTACGAAGTGAAACGATTTTGTCATGAAAAAAGTAAAATCTTTTCATTTAATTATGGCATTCTTAGTTTGTTTACGCTCAGCTTTCTTCTGGCATCGACCTGAATATTTTGCGTGAATAAATAAATAAATAAATAAGTAATAACTAAATTACGCGTTTTTCCGTGCGTGAAAACACACCCCCACACATCCTCCCACTTCATTCACGACAGGAAATCTACTAAATAAGTAAGTTGAACACAAATTTTGCAATCCTAGAAAGAAAGGATATACCTTAAGGAGTTTCACAAAAACTTTTAACACTACGGAGTTTCATTATGTAAGTGGCTCAACAATTCAACAAATTTTGCACTTTGATAAATAGAAATATTCAGTTATATTTTGTATTGTAGGCCTAGTCCTGATGAGTTACGAAAAAAATGAAATAAAGTTTCGATAGTAAGTTGCACAAATTATACAGTTTTGTAAAAATCGAAGTGAAAACAAAAATTATTCTTTAGCGATAAAATCATTCAAATTACATAAACTAAAAAATAATTATGTCGAATACTTAATGTAAAGTTGATGATGGTTGATACTTATCAATCAACAAAAATGATCTCTAGCTCATCTATAATGATATAATATGAGATATGACCGAATATAAAAATTTATGTATGCCCCTGCCTAATTGAAGTAGGTATATTTAACGAAGTGTTCAATTTTAGGGCGAGGCGTATTCAATATTACAATATTACAATTGTAAATAACATTTACATTTACATGAACATTTACAACTTAGGTTGCTATGTCAGTGTATTAAAAACACATTTTACAAAGAATTATTTATGTTTTAATATTGTTGTCATTATATTATAGTGCAGATTAGTTTACTGACAAATACAAATAAATTATTAAATAATTTAGTAGTCCACTATTATATAAGGCTTGCTTCTGAACAAATTTACAGTCACCTTTAAACTTCCAAGTATAAGGGTTAGTATAAGTTATACTTCACGGTACTTGCAATTACCTTCTATGATGCATATATCAAGAATACATTTTCTTAACTATAAGGCAGCTGAAAAGTATTTTTGGGGTACTCATAATGCCTTCAAATCTGCTTTATATTTTCGGTCTTATATCTGTATCAATCTTATTGCTACCTTTGGAAATTTGCACTATTTATTGCTTCTTATTGTACGTAAATTGCAATAAAAATATGTATCATGTAATAGTATCAATTAATGTTATTTAAGATTCAGGACTAGATATTGCAGATATTGCAATAAATTTATCATGGTTTATTTCAATAACATTTGGTGCAATGGTTTTATATTATCTAAAATCAGCAAGAAGATCACGCCTAGAGCATATAAGAAACGAAGAAATCAGCAGCCAAACCTGGGCACGCTGTCTGGGACTTAAGGGAACTACAGATTTTCGTGTATTAGCCTTCAAAATTACAATATATTGTCAATCTTTCCAACTTCGTTTATAAATGTTTTGTTAGATTTGGGTTTTTGTGTCTTCTTATTATATTCATTACCATGGAACTAGAATATTGTGGTGAAAATTCACGGAAAAATGTTTGCGAAATTATAGATCCAAGTGTATTAATGTTCAATATATTGTATACGAATGTATTTATTAAAATAATTTTGTGATTTTCTTGGATTTTACAATTTTGTATGCGAGTTTTACATGTTTCGCCCTGTGGGCATCATCAGAAACTCAGAAAACATCAGAAAATTTCTGATGATGGTAAAAGTGGTACCATTCATTCTTGCGATTTTCAGTATACGATTATTTATAAATCGTTTATTTTTGACTGATCAACTTCATGAACATTTAGATTCTCACATAGGCCATAACGCAGTATAAAGTGTGTAAACCTAGTTGAAGTGTGAACAGATTGGTTGTAATTTTTTTATGGCATAATTCCTGTTTAATTATTTCTTGAATCAAGCACAAAAATGTCATTCGCACAAAAATTATTACAACATTAAATTATAAATACAAAATCACGCGACTTCACACGCGACTCGTCACGCGACTTGTCACGTTGGTGTTGTATTGGTCCCAGTTTATAGCCTCATGGTTTTCTCAGTTTGGGTTGTTATGAGTGGTACTTTTTCCTCAGTCCTCTATGGTGATCTTTGTAGAGTCGATAGTATGTGGCAAATGCTACCAGTGCACCCAGGATGCCAATGGTTTCTATACGGTTGGTCGGGCAGATGGTGATAACATTGTTGACTTCGCCTTTTTTTGGATCTATCAATCTATCAATCAGAAAACGCGAGCGAGCGCATGATTGCTTCTATCAAGACACTATCAAGGTGTTCAAACATATATTTGCTAAAACTAGAAAAAGGAAAAATGTTGCAACAAATCTATTCAACCAAAAGCATCATCGATCAAACAGCGACAGATCACATATTATTTTGTACACGCCTTTAGTAATACAAAATCTGCACTCTTTCATCAAGGAAATTTAAAATTTATTAATGTACTCCGCAAAAATCCAGATTTAAACAAAGTTATCCAGATATTTAAAAACCCAAAGGCTGGTTCAGAGATCATTGCTACAGCTGGCGAAGTTCTTAAATTATACAGTTACAGGGATGTGAAAACTATGCAAAATATGTCTTCAAACATCTATAGATATGCCAGGTTCACAAAATCAGCATACAAAAATAAATTTAATATTGCATCGCTACCACCAACAGAAGCCGCAGCCCGACAACATTTGGTCAGAACTTATCACCAAGTTAAGCAGTAGTATGGGAATGAACTAAATGCAGAACAATGGGGATGGAAAAAAAGCTAATTCCTGTCACCACACTTGAACCCCAGCTCCCGAAACATTGTTAAAACTAATATCTTGCAAATGCACAACGGGATGTCAGAAAGCCTGCGGCTGCAGAAAGGCTGGAATGAAGTGCTCCGTTATCTGAACAAATTGCAGTGCTACCTGTGATAATTCGCAAGTTCCATCACAAGATAGCGAGGAAGAGGAAGAAACGATTACCGTTTTTGAGCACACCTACGATGAACTCGAGAACCAAGATTGCATTGAAAACGATAATCCCATCTCGGATAATATGGAAGAAATTTATACCTGTTATATTTCGATCGGTCCTGAAGACAATTATCGCAGAACACTTGGTCTATCGCGAAGAGCGTATTGAAAGACAATCCATTAAATTTTGAAATAGTGCGTGTTGATTAGGCCTACTGGGGATACCACGATAAAAAACAAACGCGGCTCGTTCTCTACCTCATGGTGGTGTGGAAATGAATTTTTGGCAAAAACTAATGTTGAAGTAGACTTTGCGGCGGCCGTACGCTGAAACTATTAATTTTACAAGAAAAGGGTACTTACATAAATTATAGGAAATTTTCTCTAGTTTAATTTATTATATAGATATGTTTATCGTGAAATGAGTCGGAAAGGAGATATGGTCAAAAAACTGTTCTTTGACACCATTTTTCCAAGATGGTGGCGCGAGCGAAAAAGATACGAGTACGAGCTGGCAAAGTTGAAATTCGTAAAGGGCACATCCAAATCTATATGAATACCAATTTTCAACAATCCCGCACTATTTGCTAGGCAAAACTACAAAATGTCTGGGCTATAAGCCTAGTTTAGAAATAACTAGATATAAGATATAATGTAATATACTGGTTGTGAGACGAATATTATAATTTTATATCCGTTGTTTCGCAGCGTTGTATTTCGATACTTGTTTAATTGTTTTCGTTCTTCGAATTTTTTCAATCCATAATTGCACCTTTGTATAAATCGGGTATTCAGCATTTTTATAAGCGTACTAGCTGACCCGACAAACTTTGTTCCGCCTCGCTTTTCACGTGCAATTTCTTGTTCTTCTTCAGTCCTTTCATTCGCAATACTTCGAATCCTAGTGGCATTACGGTTTTGTCGGGTAAGAGTATATCGTTTTGGTCGGTGCTTGTTGAGTCGGGAAGCTAGGAAGCATCGCACAAAGAGGAGACGGGGATAATAGAGAACTTTGTATTTGCGTTCTCTTATTCTCCCGCAAGATAATCCATATACGCGATTATATTTGTCTCTTTTTAGTTTCGTTTAGTGCCGTTTTAGAAAAGTATTCACTTCAAAAAGTATTCTATTACCTTCTCCTGGCCCTAAGCTACCTCTCCACCAATTTTTAGCTAAATTGGATCTGCCGTTCGTTAGTTATAAGTGTGGTAACTAAGTCGACTTTCTTTTATCTATATATATAAAAGAAATGATTTTTTCGAAGTTCGCCATTTAAGATGAAAATTTTTCTTGTGTCAAAAAAAAAACTTCAATTAATTTGACAACTACTACAATTTTCTACTTTCAATTAATTATATTGATGCGTAGGTTAGCTGTCAGCGGTGGTGAAGGGCTTGGGTATTGGTAGTCCGGTGAGGGTGTCGCTGTTCAGAGAGGCGAGCTGGCTCGTAGTAAGTGGTTGCTTGGCCAGGTCGGAAGCACGAATGTCGCTGAGAGCTGCCACTTGTCATGAGGACAGCTCCCTAGAGATCCTAGCACCCTAGGATCTCTAGTTGAGCATCCTTAGCGCGGTCAAGTCGGCGGTGCTCGTAGCCCCAATCGCCGCTAGAGGGCGCCGGAGCCAAGGGTGGCTTCAATATAAAATAAAATCGGCCCAATCTGGGATTAGTGGGAAACGTTGTCAAAAAGTTTGAAGTTTTTTTTGACAAAAGCCAAAGTTTTTTTTTATAGTGTCGAACTTCGAAAAAATTATAATTATACTCATAAAACGCGATTATTTCATAGTTCCAATTAATTAAAAAAAAAATTGCCTGCTTCTTCAAAAACTTCATTCAAAAACAAAAATATTCAAGAAAAAAAACGTATCAATAGGTCATTTTTGGAAAGAGTTATGGCAATTTGAAAATTAAATTGTCATTATTTTTTAAAATTCCTAACTTTTTGAGGTTAGAAAAAATTTAAAAAAAAATTCTAATAAACGTTTCTCAAAGGGTAAAAAAGAATGGAAAAGTTTCAGCTAAATCAAAAAAGGTCGGGTTCAAAAGTGGTCGATTTGGCATGGAATACCCCATATATGTATATACTAGCGACCTGCCCCGGCTTCGCACGGAAGTAAAAAACCGCATCAAAATCCGTTGCGTAGTTTCAATGATTTAAGCGTGCAAAGAGACAGACAGAGAAAGCGACTTTCCTTCTCCAAACAAAAACATCAACCGGTCAACTTCAACCCACACGTACACACTTACACACGTCTATGCTTGGAGGGAGAAGCTACGAAGCATCGCACAAAGAGCAGACGGGAATAATCGAAAACTTTGTATTTACTACATCACATTAGAAACCTCAAAAATAACAGTACTTCTCCACTATTTAATGGATGTTATTATACATACAAACCTTCCTCTTGAATCACTCTATCTATTAAAAAAAAAACGGTATCAAAATCCGTTGCGTAGTTTCAAAGATTTAAGCATACAAAAGAACCGGAAAAAAAAGCGACTTTACTTTATACTATGTAGTGATGATGTCGGATTCGAATACGAATAAGGACTGGCGTCCTTCCTTAGATGGCTCTAGACATAAGAAGATGAATCAGCTAATGGAGGTGCAGTCTTGCATCGATGTGGTCTGGGTGTGTGTCTCGAGTTAGAGCGACAAGCGCAGTGGGGATTCGAAGGTTTCAGGGGAATGGATAATCATGTGTGAAGACACTCACTCTGAGAGCACCCTTGAGCGCGCACCCAGAACTCATCCTGTTACGCCGATTCAATTCGTTTTGTTTAATCTAAGATATACTTTGTAATAAATGGCGCGTAATTTGAATTGGAGTGTTGTTAATGTAGTTGAGGAGTAGGTTTATCTGACATATAGATATAGTCGCGAATGAGTGCTGCGGGGAAACGTCTAGAGGCGAAATGATGGCGGAAATGGTGCTATCAGCTTTCGCTACGTGTCGATTTTTACCAGTTCACTCACTGTAAGCCGCATAAAAGAACTTAGTTCAAAAAAAAGAACTTTCGAAATAATAAAATAAAATTGTTCGGTCGGGGTACCCCCGTCAAGAACGAAATTTGTCGCAATATTTATATAAAGTGTTGTAACTTCATTTTCTGAAACGTTGATAAGAAGAGCTGAAGAAATTGCTCTGCCTTATTTCAATTGGCTTTCGCGTTATAAGCGGGACCGCTCACATTTGCACAGATGATATAGGAACAGTGAGTGGCATTTATTCAGTTGTGTTTATAATTGGACGTAAAGGTAAAGAAGTTATAGTAGCTATTTACATAGACCAAAATTAAAAAAATGAGCATCAATCGAATATACTGAAAGAGGTTTGAAATTACTTAACCAAAACTTTCAGAAGCTTTTCTGTTTTCTATAGGAAGGTGCTCAAATTAGTTTCGTTAAATTTTAATCGAGGTGAAACAAAACTTATTTCTAACGATAAATTCATTCAAATTACACTAACTAAAAAATAATTATGATTCATACTTAATGCGAAGTTGATTATTGATACAAAATAAAATTCTAAGGGCCAAAATAGTTGAAAAAGCTTAAGATGGTGAAGCACAATTTGCAGATATTGATTGAAATTTATCATCAAGTCAAGTCTTGGATTGAGTATTTTGGGCAAACAAGAAAGTTGTGATGAAACTTCTCGAAAAAATGTTTGCGGAATTATATATTCAATTGTAATATATGGAAACTGATAAAGTTGTTGAATTTGTTGAACTGTCGAACAGTTTTTATCATTTATATTATTTTATATTTATTAATAATTCTGGCGGAAATTAGTGTGAAAAAAATCAAGTTAATTTTGAAACAAAGTCGAAAACTACTAAATACTATGTGTACCATTATGGTAAAATAAAGATTAGTTCACTCATAAAATCGAAAAAAAGAGAAATTATCAAATAATTTAGTAGTCAAATATTATTAATGGCTTGCTTATGAACAAATACAGTCGCACTTCTAACTTCTACTTAAAAGGGTATATATAAGCGATATTTCACAGTAGACAATTACCTTCAACGATGCATATATCAAGAAAAAGTTTTCTTAACTATAAGGCAGCTGAAAAATATTTTTGGGTTACTGATAACGCATTCAAATCTGCTTTATATTTTCGGTCTTTTATCTGTATCAGTCTTATTGCTACCTTTGGAAATTTGAACCATTTATTTCTTTCTTATTGTACGTAAACTGCAATAAAAATATGTATCATGTAATAGCAATAATTAATGTTATTTTAGATTCTGGACTTGATATTGCAAATATTACTATAAATTTATCATGGCTTATTTCAATAACATTTGCTACAATGGTTATATATTATCTAAAATCAGCCGCTAAACCTGGACACGCTGTCTGGGACTTAACGGAACAACAGATTTTCGTGCATTTGCCTTCAAAATTACAATATATTGTCAATCTTTCCAACTTCGTTTATAAATGTTTTGTTAGATTTGGGTTCTTGTGTCTTGCTATTGCATTCATTACCATGGAACTAGAATATTGTGGAGAAAATTCACGGAAAAATGGTTGCGGAATTATATATCCAAGTGTATTAATGTCCAATATTTTGTATACATGGTTTACGGAACTAAGAAACCTATGTTTGCAGAATGTTTTCATTAATTTAAGTCAACGACCTTATCGCGAATTCTATAATTTGTTAATGATTATGATTATTTGGTATATGTATGTTGGAATACTAATATGCTGCAGTTTCTTACATACCTTAATGATAATCGCCCAAGTTAATGTGAAAGAGTTCAAAGAAATTCTAAAAGAAAGTATTGAAACCAAGAATAAAGCGATTCGACGACAGAAACTAATAAAAGCATACAAATTGCAATTCCATACAAAAATGTGAGTCATTGTTACCTTTTCATCGAACATCTACGTATTTTTGCCTTTTGTTAAATTTCAGGGCTTGGGATGCAGTTGCCGACATGTTTAAGTGGCCATTATTAATACAGTACTTAGTCACTGGCGTAACAGTTGCTTTAATTCTAATCTCGGAAATAATTGTTTGTAACAAAAAGTTAATCGGAACGATTTAATACAATATAATACATTTTCAGCAAATTAATGTACCTGTTATTCCCGTTCTTATTGGCCATATAATTGGAACATGTGCGTGTGGTATTTTTGGTGAAGAAATGCTACGACTGGTAAATATTTATAAAGTGTAGATTGTATGTAAAAAGAATAGCTAGTATGTGTGTCTGCAGAGCGAAGAATTCCGAAATGCAACCTTCTATGGGGTATCGTGGGATGGTGATGTAGAGAGCGCCAAATTTCTGATGTTTATGAATATTAACTTGCATAACGGTTTCAAACTACCTCTTGGCGACTATGGAATTTATACAAATGAACAAGCCCTTTTGGTAAAGTAGTATAACCATAATTCAAATTTACTGCTAATTACATTTTATATTTTTAGGTTATTAAAATGGCGTATACAATTGTAATGTATTATGTTAATATGACTAGTGATAACAATCCAACAAACTGACGAATAGTGATGATTAAGCTTCTACCTGGATCATCAGTGCTGAAAATCTTTAAATATTATGCAGACAACCTTGCCAACACTCGAGAATGCGATTTCTTATAAACACGAGTAAACACGAAGTAAAAAGTATATTTTAAGCACGAAAGTAGAGATGTTGCAACGTACAATAACAATAACGTTGATAAACCAGTAGCTCATCTATCTGAAGATGTCACAGTGTAGTAACACACATTGTAATGACACACATTATTTCAACCAAATTTTCTAAATGTTTCTGCTCTTAATTAATATTGAATCAATTGAGTGCAGATTAGTTGTCCACGGTTGGTATTCTTTAAATCTTGTAACTGTAACTATGTTGTTGGAATTATGGATTTAGGTAGCGGTGATTTTATTCAATAATTACGAAGTTTAATTATGGAAGATTGCCGAATATTCAAAATTAGAGTTTTCGGAAGTATGACTTATCGATTTCAAGGCTCGAAACGAACTAACTGCATACAACTATTTTACTCTGTATTCGGGCCAAGTCCGACAAACGTATTGATAACGCGGCGAATTGTTATCATACATTTGGCAAACACCTGCCAGGGGACCGCTGCAATTATATGCTTTGTTCTCCCGGTCAGTCCAGACAGCAGGTGCATCATTCTTGCAACATTAGCAGGAATATCCCCAAGATCTGCATTTACTTGATTTATAAAATTCATTCGCTCTTGAGCTCTTGTGCAAGTAACACGGTAAATAAACGGTTAAAATCAGCAAGAGTTTTCTTCACTGCATACCTCATCCACCACATCACTATCATATCTTGGAGCGCGATGTTAGACCGGCTAAACTCAGTCAGGGTCGCTTGAGCATCGCAAACAAAAATCGGGCAAACCGTCTTCAGAACCAGGAGGACAAGCTACGCAGGTTTCGCCCCAACACTCTGATTGTAGTATAAATATCTTGTAATATTTGGTTTTAAGTAGTCTAGACTGCCCTTAATTATACCTAGATTTATGACCCTTAGCTCAAGTATTTTTTTCTCTACTTCTTGGAAATAATAAAATAAACCTTTTACATTGTACCAAATGTTACCCTCAAACAGAAAACTTAATATGTTGGAAGAGAATGAATTTTGTAGACGAACTCAATATTTCAACATATGTAGTCAAAGGTCATGTTGTCCATGATAACAGTACAATTAGGCGTAATAAGAGTTACAATAAACTTTTACATTGATAAACCGTATCCATTAAACATTTCAACACTATTTTTCATTACGATTAAAACACAGACCCTTTAAAGCTTCTTCTTGAAACAATATTATACTTACACACAATATTTATTTTGCTTGTCTAACCTAATATTGAACTTTTCTAATTGTTTGTCATAGATTTGTTGGTTAAATGGTACCATTCATTCTTGCGATTTTCAGTATACGATTATTTATAAATCGTTTATTTTTGACAGATCAACTTCATTAACATTTAAATTGTCACATAGGCCATAACGCAGTATAAAGTGTGTAAATTTTTGGCATAATTCCTGTTTAGTTATTTCTTGACAAAAATGTCATTCGCACAAAAACTATTACAACATTAAATTATAAATACAAAATCACGCGACTTCACACGCGACTCGTCACGTTGGTGTTGTATAGGTCCCAGTTTATAGCCTCATGGTTTTCTCAGGTTGGGTTGTTATGAGTGGTACTTTTTCCGCAGTCCTCTATGGTGATCTTTGTAGAGCCGATAGTATGTGGAAAATGCTACCAGTCCAACCAGGATGCCAACCATGGTTTCGACACGGTTGGTCGGGCAGATGGTGATAACATTGTTGACTTCGCCTTTTTTTGGATCTATCAATCAGAAAACGCGAGCGAGCGCATGATTGCTTCTTAATACTTTTAATGTTTTTTGTATTTAGTATCTTTATTCTTGAATCAGATTTAAATAATAAACACTCACAAGACTTATGATACCAATATTTTGTGCTAAAAAATATTGTAGGGATTTGCTCTTGCTTACTTTGGTACTGTGGGAGTACGGATGTCTCAGTCCACTGGATACATCATCGTTACGTTACGTGATAGAATCAGAAGTCGTCTTCTTCGTGTACGATTTGTATTTATCTAATCCTACGATTGCAGCCTCAATTAAATAATTTGATTATCCAAGTTTATATCGTAATTTGTTTAGAATATTTTTATCATTAGATATTACTATAAGCCAAGGCGAATAAAGAACCCGACTTACAAAACATTTAAGATACTTTTAAAATACGTGTAAATTTATTTGTCGAGTGTTCGTGTTAACGTGCAAAAATACATTGAAAGTCTAAGCCTAGTTTAGAAATAACGAATGGTCAAAATGCAGCGTCATCGTAATACGAAGATATAATGTAATATACTGGTTGTGAGACGAATATTATATCCGATGATTCGCAGCGTTGTATTTCGTTAATTATTTTCGTTCCATGAATTTTTTCAATCCATAATTGCACCTTTGTATAAATCGCGTATTCAGCATTTTTATAAGCGTAATATATTGTCGTGAATGAGTGCTGTGGGGAAACGTTTAGAGGCGAAATGATGGCGGAAATGGTGTTCTTAGCTTTCGCTACGTGTCGATTTTTACCAGTTCACTCACTGTAAGCCGCATAAAAGAACTTAGTTCTAAAAAAAGAACTTTCGAAATAATAAAATAAAATTGTTCGATCGGGAACGGTCACGAACGAAATTTGTCGCGATATTTTCGCAATAATCTAACATATTTTTTATGCAATAATCTCATGCTAAGTGCATTCGAATGACTCGGTTACCTGTCCTAAAAGTGTATTTAAAGTGTTGTTACTTCATTTTCTGAAACGTGGATGAGAAGTGCTGAAGAAATTGCTCTTCTTTATTTCAATTGGCTTTCGCGTTATAAGCGGGACCGCTCACATTTGCACAGAAGATATAGGAACAGTGAGTGACATTTATTCAGTTGTTTTTATAATTGGACGTAAAGTTAAAGAAGTTAGAGTAGCTATTTACATGTCCCAAAATTGAAAAAGTGAGCATCAATCGAATATACTTAACCAAAACTTTCATAAGCTTTTCTGTTTTCTATAGGAAGGTGCTCAAATTAGTTTCGTTAAATTTTAATCGAAGTGAAAAAAAGTTATTTCTATCGATAAATTCATTCAAATTACACTAACTAAAAAATAATTATGATTCATACTTAATGTGAAGTTGATTATTGATACTTATCAATCTTCAAAGATAACCTATAATAGCTCACCAATAATATACACTATGATTAAATAAATAATCCATTATTACTTTGCCTACGAAACTTAATGGGGAATTGAACCATGGAATTATCTAATGATTTGTAAATATTAAATGGTATTGCTTACTCATTAACGTGTATGTGTTTGAACAAGTCATATTAAACAGATTTTGTGAAGTTTTAAAACTACTTTAAGATTACTTTATTGAGTTAGACCTATGCCTTATTCTTTCTGATTATTACTTTTAAAAATTTGAACCAAAATAAAATTCTAAGGGCCAAAATAGTTGAGAAGTTTAAGATGTTGAAGCACAGTTTGCAGATATTGATTGAAATTTATCATCAAGTCAAGTCTTGGATTGAGTATTTTGGGCGAACAAGAAAGTTGTGATGAAAATTCTCGAAAAAACGTTTGCGGAATTATAATATATGTAATACATGGAAACTAATAAAGTTGTTGAATTTGTTGAACTGTCGAACAGTTTTTATCATGTATTTTATATTTATTAATAATTCTGGCGGAAATTAGTGTGAAAGAAACCGAGTTAATTTTGAAACAAAGTCGAAAAATACTAAATAATGAAATGCCATTGAATATAAATAAACTGTCTGATTGGAGTAGATATATTTAATTATGCGTTATATTTTAATGCGTGGAATAAAGTTAAAACTTTACCCCTCCAGAGAACTAAGCAACATTTACATCCACAACTTAGGTTTCTAAGTTATTTATATTAAATATGTGCACCATTATGTTAAAATAAAGATTAGTTCACTCATAAAAGCAAAAAAAAAAGAAATTATTAAATAATTTAGTAGTCAACTATTATTAATGGCTTGCTTATGAACAAATTTACAGTCACCTTATAACTTCTACGTAAAAGGGTTTATATAAGCGATATTTCACACTAGAGACAATTACCTTCTACGATGCATATATCAAGAACAAGTTTTCTTAACTATAAGGCAGCTGAAAAATATTTTTGGGTTACTGATAACGCATTCAAATCTGATTTTATTTTTTGGTCATACATTTGTAGCCTTTTTATTGCAACCTTTGGAAATTTAAACTATTTATTCCTTTCTTATAGTAAGTTAATCGCAATACAAATATGTATAATTTAACTAAATTAATTAATCTTATTTAAGATTCAGGTCTAGAGCTTGCAGATATTACTATAAATTTGTCATGGCTTATTACATCAATAATCGGTATAGTGATGTTATATTGTCTAAAATCTGCAGCTAAACCTGGGCAGGCTGTCTGGAATTCACTAGAACAAAAGATTTTTGTGCACGTGCCTTCAAAATTACCATACATTGTCAATATTTGCAATTTCGTTTATACATTTTTTATTAGATTTGGATTTGTGTGTCTTCTTATTGTATTCATTAACAAGGAACTAGAATATTGTGGAGAATATTCTCGGAAAAATGTATGCGGACTTATATATCCAAGTGTATTAATGCTCCATACTTTTGAATAGGGAGTTCATGGAACTAAGAAAATTTTGTTTGTAGAATTTTTTCATTGATTTAAGTCAACGGCCCCATCGAGAACTTGTTAATTTATTCATAGTGTCGGTTTTATGGTATTTATATAATGCGTTAGTAATATGCTGCAGTTTCTTACTTACCTTATTGATAATCACTCAAGTTAGTGTGCAAGAGTTTAAAGTAATTCTAAAACAGAGTATTGAAACCAAGAATAAAGCGATTCGACAACATAAACTAATAAAAGCATACAAATTGCAATTCGATACGAAAATGTGAGTTATTGCTAGTTTTACATGCAACATCTACGTATTTATGACTTTTTTAAATTTTTTTTTAATTTTAGGGCTTGGGATGAGGTTGCCACCATGTTTAAGTTTCCATTATTAATGCAGTTCGTCGCCACTGCCGTAACAGTTGCTTTAATTCTAATCTCCGAATTAATTGTTAGTAACAAAAAGTCAATCGGGATGATTTAATACAATATAAAACATTTTCAGCAATTTAATCTACCTGTTATTCCCCTTCATTTTACCCATTTAACTGGAACATGTCTGTGTGGCATTTTCGCTGAAGAAATGATGCGATTGGTATATATTTATTTAGTATAGATGTATGTAAAAAGAATAGCTGGTATGCGTGTTTTTAGAGGGACGAATTCCGAAATGCAACCTTTTATGGGGTATCGTGGGATGGTGATGTACAGAGCGCCAAATTTCTGATGTTTATGAATATTAACTTGCGTACCGGATTCAAACTTCCTATTGGCGACTATTCAATTTATTCAAATGAACAAGTTCTTTTGGTGCATTACTATTGTCATAATAAGACTCTCATAATAATGCTAATTACATCAATATTTTTAGGTTATAAAAATGGCGTATACAATTGTAATGTGTTATGTTGATATCACTAGTCATGGCAATCTGGTAAACCAATAAACGGATAATCTAGTCCTACTTCTACCTTATCTGGTGATCCAGAATATTTTTTAAAATTGTGGGCAAGACAATCTTGCCAGTACTTGGCAATGCGATATAAACTAGATATATAAACACTAACCACTAAAAAGTAAACGTTTTAGCACGAGAGTGGGAATATGGCATTGTTCAATAATAATAACTTTGTTAAAGGAGTATTCAACGCTATCTGTCTAAGGATGTCACTCTGTAGTAACAATCATTATAATAAACAACATACATAAATGTTTTTAGTTTTCAGCAGTGCTAATCACTGCTAATTTTACGCCCACCTTCCCTAAATTACTTATCTCAGAAGCGAATAAAGTTAGACAAAGAAATCACAAAATTTTAATTTATACTACTTTTGGTGCGTTTTGGAAAAATGATGAGAGTTAATTTTTACGATGCTCGTGCAACGACACGAAAAGAACGTAAAATAGAAATTTAACTTCTTCAGATTCTTGTAGAATATATTATTATGTTTAATTTATCTTAGAAAATTTTATTCTAGAATATTTGGAAACAGTATATTTAGTTGGGCTAAGACGATAATTTCTAGAATAAAAGGTTGCTTAGATATTTGAGAGAGAAGATTACAATTCATCTAAATCCAAAATGAAAATTAAAAATTCTAGTTTATAATGTATGCCCTAATAAATAATTATGACGTGAAACGATTTTGTCATAAAGAAGTCAAATCTTTTCATTTAATTATGGCATTCTTAGCTTGTTTACGCTCAGATTTCTTCTGGCATTTGGCGCACAACCTCATCGTATTAATATTCGACCAGATACGTGTTACGCCGTGGGTGAAAACCCACCCCCACACATCCACCCACGTGATTCATGATAGGAAATCTACACACAAACTTTGCACTTTGATAAATAGAAATATTCAGTTATATTTGGTATTACAGGCCTAGATGATTTACCAAAAAAATTGTTGCACAAATTAAACAGATATGTAAAAATCGAAGTGAAAATAAAAGTTATTCTTTAGCAATAATATCATTCAAATTACACAAACTAAAAAATAATTATGACTAATATTTAATGTAAAGTTGATGATGATTAATACTTATTAATCTTCAAAGATGACCTCTAGCTCACCTATAATATACGACATGATTAAATAAATAATTCATTATTATTTTGCCTATATAGCTTAATGGAAAATGGCACCACGAAATTATAGATTTATTTGTAAATATAAAATAGTTCGCCTCACTCTGCAACGAATAGGTGTTTAAGCAAGTCAAAATTCCTGCCAAAGATGACACCAACTAGAGCAGATTTTCTAAACTTCTGCGTTGCTGACAATTACTTTTGGCTCACCGAAAATAATTACAGGACTACTTTATTGAGTTGGGCCTACACCTTAATCTATCTCATCACTACCTTTGCAAATTTGAATTACTTGCATACAACTTATTGTAAAACAACTTTAAACCAAAATCAAATTATAAGAGCCAAATTAATTAAAACTGTTTAAGATGTGGAAGCTAAGTTTGCAGATTTGGTCATAAATTTATCATGGCTTGCTACAGTAATAATTGCCACAATAATAGTATTTAAGTTAAAATTTGCTGCAAAGATTGCATATGATATCTGGTATTCGATGGAAACCCAACTCTTTGAGCACGTACAAACAGAATTACAGAATGTTGTTAACATGTCCAATTCGGTTTACAAGTCAGGTCTAAGATTGGGTTTTTTGGGACTTGCTATGGCACTGATTTCGAGAGAACTAGAAAGTTGTGATGAAAATTCTCGGAAAAACGTTTGCGGAATTATATATCCAAGTGTAATATTATATTATGCTATATCGTACTAAATATTTTTTGTTTAAGTGGCACCTAACAAAATTATATTTGTAGAATCTGTTCATTGATTTGAGAGAACGACCATATCGTGAAATTTTCAACATTTGTGTTTGGGTCACATATTGGTATTTATTTGTTGGTGTTTTTACGTCTTGCACTTTCTTATATACTTTAATGTTGTTAACGGAAGTTATTCTGAAGGAATTCAAGTTAATTTTGACGGAAAGTCGAAACTTGCAAAATAAAGAAATGCGATTGAATAAATTGATTGAAGCATACAAATTACAACAGAATATAAAAATGTATGTTCGCCACTGCTTGATTGGAGTAGATACAATTAATAATGTATTAAATTTTAGGACATGGGATAAAGTTACTGGAATTTTTAAATGGCCATTATTATTACAATACTTGATAAGTGCCGTGACAATCGCTTTAATTCTTACCACGGAAATAATGGTAAATAACGCAAAATTTAGTCATAATTAAGTTAATTCAAGACAGCATTATTTTTAGCACTTTAATCTACCATTGATTCCTGTCTTATTTGTTCATTTCCTTGGAACGTCTTCGTTTGGCTTTGTTGCAAAAGAAATGGGACAATATGTAATCGGTTTATAAAGTGATCAAGTATAAAGTATGGCTAATGTTTAATTTTTTGTAGAGTGAAGAATTTAGACATGCTACGTTTTATGCTATACCTTGGGATGGGGATGTGGAGAGCGCGAAGTTTCTTATCTTCATGAACATTAATTTACATAACATATTCACAGTTCCTCTTGCTGACTTTTCAGTTCATTCAAATGAACAAGTTCTATTGGTAAGAATATATGACAATGTTTGTGTCGCAATGCTAATTACATTAATTTCTATAGATTTTCAAAATGACGTATACAATTATGATGTGCCTTATAAATTTAACTCAGAAAAACATTAGCTCATAAATTTAAGTGACATGAGACACTATATTATTTTCTTGCAATAGCATAAAGACACAAAATTATCTTTCACCAACAATATATTTCAAAAGTTTTACTCACAAACCAACTTGATGCAATTAGTGAAGAGTGGTTAAATGAAAACAAAGTACACTTGCTGTTGTTTTGTTGCGTGTGTTTTATTTAATAATCTTATTAATTTCAGGATTTTCAATTTAATAACATGTAATGATCTTTGAATATAATAATTTGAATAATAAACAAATAATGGTCCGTATTACATCGTAATAGTTCATTTTCATCATAAATGCTTTCATTGATTCGCATTTTCGTATTAATCATGTGTTATGTTGTTGCTGACCTGGCGTTTTTTTTTTTGGTTGCGACATTTTTGTTTAGTTATTATTAACAAATAGTTTTGACGTAGTTTTAAGACTCAATTTTCGCAAGAGAGGTAATAATATACAGCGAATTTAGTATATTCCTTCTTTATGTACTTAAATGCTAGTTATTATATGTATAGATGATATAATATTTACAAGTTCAAGTCAATAATAAAAAGGGAGACAGGTTTTGTTCAACAATAATAGAATAATGTGTATACGTAGTTGATTTGTATAATAATGTACATTGAATTTTTCTTTGCATTTTTTAGTTTATCATTTACTTGTAGTTTCAACAAATAGTTCTCTTCTTTTTAACAAAAATCGCCAAATATGTCTCGTGTACGAGGTGTTTTTAATCGCAAAGTACGAGTACAATACAATAAATTTATTTAAAGTGTGTACACATATCAATGTTGGTAATTTGTGCATGCAATCGCAATGCATACAATCTTAAACAGTTACGTATAATTTATTTTTGGTTTTTCATGTTTAGTTACATTTAAATGTACACCAAAAAGGAATCAAGCGAAATCATAGTTCGTTTGGTCGTTATGTGATGCGATTAGATGTTTAAAATTTATTCCTTTGAGTACAATTACAAATTTGCTATTCAAGTTATTTATGAAAAACGTAACAAACATTACATAATAAACATTATGTTATCTATTCATTTTTTATACATTTTGTTTAATATATTCATATATTCTTTACTTTTATTTATTATTATTTGTTTTATCTTGTGTTCATTTTCTCGTAATCTCATAAATCGTACGAAGAGCACCGCAACTGGATATGACGTTGAATGAAATCCACAAATTAGCATTGTACACACGTATAATATGATCGACAGATTCCCAGATCCGCCATTGCATGTTTCGGTTTTCGTCCTAATATATTTAACTCTCCACTGTTTCGTTCTAGGTCAATGTAATTTCATGTTTCGCCTGCATTTGCAACACTGCTATAGAGAACATTATGAATACACCTAAATACATTAAGTAATCGTTAATCGGAGAGATTTATAATAAAAAATCGAAGATATGACGTTTATAATAGTGTTTGAAGAATTTGCTAGGTAATTTGTACACCGCTACGGTAAGGTACAATTCATTTACATTTGTTCACTGCCTGCTTGCTCTATTAAACCGTTCATGTTCATGTTCGCAAAGTGTAAGAAGTGTGGAAGAACGTGATCCAAACTGATTTTGTACACATTTTTACCAGTCAGTCATGGTTGAATTCGTTTTTATGATGTATGCCTAAAGCCAATGTCAACGCAAATTACCCAACTTGTTTTATGTTTGTTCCTAGATTAAAGACAAACAACATGGCCGTTCGTCTTGTAGTTGGCTCGAATGTGATTCAACTACAAATTCGGAACTGAAACGTGTGCAGCTTATGTGTGTTCAATTTTTGTTCTCTTGTTTGATCTACGTTGGCTACGTTTGCATTGATTTCAATTGTAATCATCGAATTCCATTGAAATCATGTCCAACTCGTCGCCAGTTTATTTCGTGTTCAATTGTTTGTGTCATTAAAGCCCAGCGCGCCTTATCTTGTCGCTTTGTTACTGCTGAATATTGTCTGAATTCATTTGTTTCTTACTTATTAGACGTTCGGTGAGCGTGAACTTTATACAAGATGAAATGGTAATATGTTGCCGCAATTTTACATTTTCTCATGATTTTTACGATGTCATGATTTCTCCATATTCGCTAAGTTTTGTTTTTCATAAATCTTACATGTTTGTTTAAGTTACGGTCCTAAACGTGAAGTCAATTCTTGCTTTATATGTACGAAAACGTATTTTAACTTTAAATATTATTTAATAATCGCATTAATATTTAAATCATTTGCTTTGTTATGCTTCTGATGTGAAAAACGTTTATTTTTAACGTTTGGTTTCTATCCCCATTACACTTTTTCATTGTCCTTACAAGTTGACGCTTCTGATGCTCATCAGGGACTAAGTAATTTACTTTTTTCGGCACAAATTACAGTAGTAGAGCACAACACAGACGACACAACAACACACTGTACTTAAATATCACAGTGAAGAAGTTAAAACATGTTCTTTCATTAAAAATTTCAAGTCGAGTTATTTCTTGTAAGTTTTCTTGTTGCATATTTTGCACCAATGTAATCGCAATGTACAAGAAGTTTAGTTGCAATAGTTACAATATAGTCTTGAGAAGCATGAAAAAAGTGAGAATGGAGAATAAAAATTTAAGGCTCAATTTGTTATTACTGATATCAGTGTAACAATACATCCTCCGCATCGTACATAACGTTTCTTTCATATTCTTTTAGATAAATTTCTCTTCATACATAGATGTTTTCGGTTTTGCCAAAATCAGGATGTTCTCTCATGCATAAAAAAATATCTATGTTGCGATATTTATTACTTAAATCCCTTAATCTACTTGAATCACATTTTTGAAAGTACAATTACATGAGAGAAGTTTAACATTAAAGTTGTTCTGCGCAATGATGTACACAACATTACGACTGTTTAATTATTCATTTGTGTTTCCTTGTGTTTCATTTGTTTTCAACAGATTAACGATACATTAATGTACAATTCGGAAAACAGATAGTTTCTCGCATTCACCTCGCGCAATCTTCACATGTTGACGCATTTGTCGGGTTGTGGTGGAGGCACATGTAATATATAAAACGTTGGGAACAGCAGTTATACGTAGCACTATTGCAACGACGAATCCATCTCCAGCGCTTGCCTGCCATGTGCAATCGGTTCACTCGTATAGTTTTTATGTTTCTTTGTTTTGGTTTAAATATGTTTAAAGGACGGCCCATTTGAATCATGTAGTTTTAAATTGTTTACGAGTTTGTCACGCCATACGATTTCCATGAACACAGTCCTGCATATGTTTGGTAATTTGTTGCTCTCGTTTCGAGTGTACTTCACGTATTACTCCGGTATGTGAAGATGTTTACTGCTGCGAGAGAGGGTTCTCCGGACGTGTGTCGGACTTCAGCTTGACAAACTCCTTGGCCACCTCGTCGTTGGTGCGCTGTGATAGAATACGAAGAATCGTCCAGCCAGTTTCGTCCATTTGGATGCGCTTGCCTAACGATAACCAGCAAGCAAATGATCCCTACAAATATACAACATATAGCCATGTTAATTATGAATGATCAGACGTCAATTTTAATAACGATTCCACTAACCCGATCAACAATATCCTTCAATTGCATTACGGCTACGCCTACAAGTCGATCATCCCTCGCAAAGCAGTAGTCCTTAGCGCAAATGTGCAGCTCAAAACAGTCCAATTGTTCTTCATTACCAATTGTACTAAAAAGAAGAAAACCAAATCTTAGCCAACAGTATAAGTATTAAATTAATACATACAAGTAAAATGTCTCGTTATATTTTGGTGACCAATTATTCGACTTTGACTTAGTCGCTTGTTTCCTTTTCTTGTCCGATAAATGAGGTCCGATGAGATTGACCTCCACGAAGGGCCGAAAACCAGTGCCTTGTGGCCACTTCAAATCATTAGCAGCAATCACTGAAACAACAAACGCCAGCAATATTCATAACGCAATTTAACATTTTATGGAATATCATACCTTTCACAGTTACTTTATGTTCACCCTTTCCTGGATGAGCAAAGAGTTCCACGTGAATTGACACTTCGCCCACGCTGCCTTCTTGTCCCTCCACTGAGTCTGCAAGTATTGAATGTTAGGTCCCATTTGACATAAAAAGCAAATTAATGAGAACACAAAATGGCGTACGACCAGAGTATAGCTAAATTGCTGCAAAATTTATACAGTTTACAAGCTCAACACGAGGTGGGTACATCTGCTTATCAGCAAATGATTCCTCTTTAGTATCACCATCTAATCAATTCAAAAAACTCCAAACTTCGAAATGTCAAAAAGCAATGAAACTAGAATAGATATAACAAAGAATGTAAAAATTATGAATAAACTATTAACACCATTCCATAAAATTATTTTATAAGTAAATAAAAATAATGTAAGTATAACCAACCGTCCATTTCGTTAAAAAATACAAAATAACTAATGACAAGGACTGGTTGTACTCACGATTATAAACACATGCACTTACAAGTAACCGTAATTCGTTGGCATGGTCGATAAAAAACATGCAATGCCAATGTTATGTTCATATGTATCCTCCTAATGACGATGTGAGAGTGTGTGCGAGAGATTTATGTGGTGATATCAGGTGTGTTCTTGTAAATAAACTCGATAAGTTTCTCTAGAGAAACTCTAACAACTACCAAAAATACGTAAAAATGTAACGGTCTAATGTAGCTAATATAATGCCAATTAATTAATTTCCATTGAATTAATTAATTGCCGATCGATGCAAGCTTGAATGTTTGCTAAGTCTTTCAGAGGAAAATTTTGCAAAGGTGCCCATAAACAAAACCAAAATGGTAGCAGTTTTATTTTAAGATCCTTTAATATATCATAAATCGTGTGAGATTAATAGTAAAAAAGTGGTTACTGCTGCCATTTTGGGTAGAATTTTAAAAATGCGTAGCGTAGGCGTCAAAAACAAGAGCTGTCTCATAAAAACTTGATTGCACAACTGCGCGCAAACAGCTTGCTTGTACTTTCTGTGATTTGTACCTTGACGTGTTTCACTCTCTCTGCGTTTGGCTTTGAGCGGCTGCTCTAACGCTTCTAATCCCGTTTCGGTTTCGTCATCGTCGCGTATCGAGATTTGCCGTTGCAGATATGTATCTTTATTGTTCAGCGGCACTTAGAAATTTATAAGCAAATTTAGCATTTTATGTCGGTGGTGGTCGATTGGTTGTCGATCGGATGTTGGATGTTTATGATGTATTTGTTTCATTTGATATTTCAAGTTCAAGTCAGATTCATGTCGTGAACGGAAGAAAAGTAGATGGTAGAGTAGAAAGAAAAGAAAAGAGTAGAGATTAGAATATAGGTTAGTTGGTATATATAGATATATAGTATAGAGTCAGTTTCCACATTGATCAATACAAATAGTGCAAAAATGAGGTTAGAATGGTGTGCCTTACCTTCGTTCAACTGGGTAGTAACGAAAGTTTTAATAAGTGCATCCGTTGTCTGTGTATACAGCGATAAGGCATAACGCAGACTCTGTAATTCAGCACTCTTGTCCAGGAAAGCTTTTTTCAGACCGTTGCCACCTGCATGGAAGTACTGCTTGATAGTGTCTAGCGCCACCTCCAAAACAGCGCACTGCTTAGGACTCAGATTCTTTTCAAAGTCTTTGGAAATGTCCATCACACCACTGAGAGCATTCTTCACATCCTGCTTGCCTGTAACGTTTTTAAACAGCCGCGACATATCCTCTATCTTGGTGTTTGCAGCTAGATTCTTGGCGTTGTCTGTTATGCTCTTGAACATCATCTACAAACAAAAATAACATAAAAGCTGATACTAAAGTGCAACATTAACAAAATCCTCACCGTCTTATCGGTCATTGGTGGTAACACTACGGTCTTCTCGAGGATTCGCATGACAATTTTCCAGAGCTCTTTGAGCAGCCGCTTCAGTACAGTCTTCTCGCATGATTGAGCGTACAATGATAGGGATCCATCGAGAAGGTCCATGAGTGGTGTGAGGACTTCATCAGCTTCACCTGTGACTGCATTGCGTGCGGCTTGTTGATTTGTGCCTGGTTGACCACCTCCCTTGATAGACATAAGTAGATCTCCCAACTCTTTCACACTGACTGTTATTCTAGGTTCTAAACTGACAGCAAAGTCTTGCGCAAGAACATCGAGTGCTGAGTTGAGGTTGGTTTGTAGATCATTCAGAATAGTTGCTGCATCTTGCTCCAATTTTTCTCCTCCCATACTTTCGAACATTTTTTCTAGTTGAACCCGCAATTGTTGAATATTGTTCATCAATATGCAAGCCTAAAATGAGCATTTAATATAAGATATCGCAAATTTGTCGAGGGCCTGTGTTCAATTACAGTTTTATGGCCATTGAGATAGATGATATCTAAAATTGGTTAAACTTACTATTCTTTCCTCCTTAAGGTGTTCGGGGAATTCTTCTCTAACGATATCAGCGTACGCCATCAGCACCTTAACGATCGTTTTCGCAAATCGCTTCATGTACCGCTTCCAGATTTCGGGATCAGGACATTCAAGTTTAGAGACAACGTCGAAGCACTGCGTGAGTTGCGTGAACACATCCACCACCGAGTTCGAGAAAAGTGCGTGTTCGCTACTCTTTTGGAACTGTAACAATTAAAACATATCGTCAAATTGATGCAATACTTAATAGTTTTCGAAATGGTAAAAGTCAAGTGAGGTCGTTGAACTTACGCCGTCCTTCTTATCACGTTTGAAGGCACCGTGGAGGTATTCCAAGGATACGTCGTCATTCTCGTTCAACCACTGCATAACAAACGGTTCGAACCAAGCGGGGTACTCGGGCACGGCACCCTTATACGGCGGCACGTCCTTCACGTAGTTCGTGTACAACCACTTCACCTTGAAGTGGAGGTTCATATACGCCGATGATTTGCATAATCGGTGTTGCTCGTGCTCCTCTAGCGCGTACTTCATATCCACCGCGAAGAGACTCCACATTGTTGAGGCGGACAGCTATGGTGATACAAGAAAACCAAAGATGATCCTTAACCCTTGTTGACCCACAATCAATATAAATAACATACCTGACCAATATTCAACTCTTGAGGGAATTGATTCAATACAGGCCCATAGCTGTTTTTATCCTCCTCAATGACGGATACAATCAACGCAATGAGTTTATGCCAGAAGTCAACACTATCCAAGCGAGGACCATGGTCCTCAGGATCTCGTTTAGGTTCATTGGGATCGCTTTGAAACTCGCGATTGTACAGTTCGTAGGTGTTCTCGAAGAGAAACTGGTAAGTTGAACGTAAACATGCTTTAACACAGTCTTTGACAACGGTGCTAGCACGTGGCGGGCTGGATAATTCCTGAACCTTCATTCGGAAGAACGTGATGCTTGTGAGAAGATCCACAGTAGACTTAAGATCCATAAGCTTTTCATTGCTGGAGGCTGGGAAGTTGTTGCGGTACATCGAAAGATCAATACGCAATGAGTTGTGGAGCTGATCCAAGAGTTTGACAAACTTCTCTTTCTGTACCACAAAAAAAAACATGTGGACTCACAAGACATAATTTCTAGTAAAGGTCGTTACCCCAAAATTTGAAGCAGCAAATCTGTCGCTGGCGGAAACCGCCGTCAATGCCGTTGTGTGTGCGTAGTAGGCGTTGATGTTAGCCAGCAGCATGCTCATGACGGCCGGCACGCCAGGACACAGGTATTTCGTCGAAAGGCAGTGAAAATGTCTAAAAAAAAGACCCAGCAAACAACGTACATTAATCTCAACGTTATCCCAAGACTAGAAGAAAGGAATGGATTGAATGATATAGAAAGAAAAAAGCGGAGTGCCTGCAGAGTAGTGATTCCTTACGTCATGGCTTGATAGATGGACTCAATTCCGTAACGCATGGCAAATTCGTCCACAATCTCCTCAGCCGCCTCCTCAAAGTACACTTTCCACGCGTCGTCGCCCTTGGCTTGCGGGAGGTTGACGATACCGGCGTTTTGCTCACACAGCGAGTGGAAGAGGTTCTCGTGCAAGCAGGTGTACTGGACGTGATAGGGCGCAACCTTCTCCTCGCCCTTAATCTCTACGGATATGTGTAGACGAATCGCACCAGAGACTGCTGATTTGTCCGTGCGTTTCTCGAGGTTGTACCATACGTCCATTTCTCCTGATAATGTGCGTACCTTAAAAAAGAAAATAATACAACCATCTAAATCAATCCGACTTTGACGAGGAAAACACTCACTTCAATAATAGTCTGTCCCAAGAAGTCGTCACTTTCGCGAGTCAACTTCTGCCTCAGTTTACTCTTCAGATCGTTGTCTTCATCCCAGACTCTCACTTTAATACGATCCGACGAATTGTGACACTCGCTAGAATTCAATTTTTAATCAATATTAAAGACAAAAGCGATGGCCATTCATAATATTTACAAGTAAAATTTTTCATCCCAGACAGGATTCAGCTCTTGCGGCATGGTGCGTGTGCGTTTCTTGACTTTGCCGACTTGCACAGTGACGTACGGATCTGAGGTGCCACTTTTATCCTTTGCGATGAGACCTTGTGCCGATTTCACTGAAACGCCACAGTCGACAATCAATTTCTATCCAAGGAAAAGCCCAAGAAATGAGACTGTGAACAAGTCATCCAAGTCTCGGAAAAGTGTGTGGAAGAGTTTAAAGACATGAAGCTCGCTAACATCTAGGTCTATTCTATATACGGCAAGTGTACACATTCACGCACCCATCACCATCATTCATATATTCCATAGAAATTCAACCAACTATAAAGAATGCAATAAATTCTACTTTAAAATTGTTCACTCTTTAGAGTCAGTATCAAATGTGAAACAAGCAGAACTGGGAATGGTCGCATGCAGAATTACCCAATGATAGATAAAATATTTACAGTCATTCACAGAGAGACAGAGATAGTGAGTTAAGATCGTCGAAGCCCGCTCGGCATGCTGCGAAAGATCGTGTGACGGAGGTCGTAACGAGATTCTGACAGACCCAGAAAGAGTATCATAGTAGTCAGACTGATAGAATAGCAAAAAAAGCAAGAAAAGCTAGTTTGTAAAGCTACGCCTTCGCAGGCTGTCCCAAACATCCTCAAAGCGCTCCCAACATATTTCAACTGTAACATTCTGAATACTTTGGGACATCCTCACTGAGCATATTGTGTATCTATAATTTTATTGATGTGCATTTCTTGCAATTTTATGCTGTTCTATAGTGCAAAATGTACTGTAAATACTGTTTGAGTGAGTGAGTGAGCATTTTGTGCAAATTTCTGTATGAAAGTTTAGTATGTGTGTATATAATGTATGTGGGTTGGTGTATTGTTGGAAAAGTTGTGAATTGTGAGATAGTTTATAAGTGTAGGTGTGTAAAAGTATTCAAGTGACTCTTGTTTATCTCTCTCGTTTCTATATAGTGTGCGTCTATAACTTCCTCGTTAGACTCATTGACTGAGGTGATCTAAGAACCTAGATTTCTTCATTAAAACAATGTTACAAGTTTCAACAATTTGGTTGGTCATCATTAAAAGTTTGGTTTTATCAAGCAGGTCTGGAGCTACATTCTATGGGCAAGCTCTCGATATTATAAAGAAGAAATTTGAACAATATTGATAAGTAAAGTACGCAAATGCATAATTCCTAGGGTCTAAAGTTGAGATTTTTGAAATAAATGTTGTAGAAAATGTTTTAAATATTTTCGTTTTTTCGGCTATTTTTTAGTTTTTCATGCTGAGTGCTTATTTAGATTGATTCGTATTGAGTTAGTTTAAATAAAAAGTTATCACACACCATTTAGTCTATAAAACAAGAGTGAGTGCGCTTGCTTGGTTGTAAGGTGAAAAAAGAGTTGTCCTTTGCCAAGTAATATTCAGTTAAGAATAAAGGAGTAAGAATTGAATGTAAGATTGCCGTGATAAAAATTAAAGGCGACAGTTTGAAGTTTGAGAGGGAGCATAATTGAGTAATTCGTATCGCATTCTCTTTGTCAGTGCAAAAGTCCAGAAGAGAAATATTGTTCGAGAGAAGAAAGAGAAAATAGTAGGCGTGTGATCAAACAAAGTACACGGTTCTTGCGTGTGTTTTATTTTCTCCTACAAGTCGCAATCGGTTCTGAGGCGTAGAGAATTCATTGAGATTCTCCTGCGAGAATATTCAAAACGTGAGAGACAGATAGAGATATAGAGAGAAAGAGAGAGAGAACATTTTCGAGCGCCAACTTTCGACAGGACAGCTCGCCGGATGGAATTTACAGATTCCCCAATAGAATGCAGCTGGCAATACCTGTGATTGCAATCTTGCATGACCATTTGGAGGTGCCCTCAATGGTCATCTCTTCGGCCTGCTCGATTGAATCAATGTGTGTGTCTGGGTCCACTGAAAATGTCGTTCTGCTCGCGCCAACCGCACACACGACGCGCGCGCACGCGCACAATCAAGGCCGGAACCGGAAACAAGAATATAAAAACAACATCGATACAAAAAAAGATGGGACGGGGCAACACCACTGACAACCAAATACAGGACAATTATTGTCATTGTTCGAGGTTTGCAGGTGGGTACCATCAAAATGAAACAAAACATAAAAATATACAAACATTTATATATCGATTTGTTTTTGTTTCTGCATCGGCTTTCTCGTATTAGTTGACAGTTGACAGTGTAAAAGGTGTCGACCGCCATTTTGTGAAATTCTTCAGCTCAATCACATCCTCGTCGATTGTGTTTTGGTACATAAATTTAATATGTGTAGATGAGTAGAATCGCCAGCAATAATAAACATTCTAACACTACAAACATTTTATATGCTACAAGTAGTAAAACGGTGTCATTATTAAAATGGCGCTATCATTACCATTGGAAAATGGAAACTAAACTAAAAATAAAACTTTATAAAATCCCACTCAAGCTGATTAACGACGAGATGCTTGGCGCACTAGACGACGGGCACTATTAACGCTTTAATGTTTCATTTATGCGCACCCTCGTTTCACGCGCACGCGCGCCTGCGGGTAGACGCAAACCATTTGAAAATTATAATTCGACGTAAAATATTTACGCGACGCGCATTAAGCGCACACTTGTTTGAGTGCGGCGCGACTCTCAGGGCGGTTCACGGTTCAATTTCAGATAGAAAATTGAATCATAAATAATTTAAACGCAGATTTGATAGATGCATTATGTGCGCGCAGGCAGCGCGCACACGGCAATACTTATGCGGGCATTTGCAGAATCGAGAGAGCGCAATTGAATTCAAGTCGCTCACCAGCGCTCAACTCTAGCAAATCGCGTTATTGAGATGAGAGGCGAGGGAAAACTTAAATAAACACACTCGACGCTCGGAATCCGAATGGCAAACAAATTATCTTTCTCCTTTGCCCTCTGCATCATTTACCTTGCGTATTGTGCGCAATTCGGACGCATATTGAGCTACTCACTAGAGGGCGTATATTGAAGACGGAACAAACGAAAAAAGTACCTAATTTAATCAAAATGTTGAGAAAATCAATAAATTTCGACAACCACGCAACATTTGTCTACACGCCACTCAATATATACTTAAATTATTTATTTACGTTGAAATTACTTTCAGTTATCGTGTATACTCATATGTTATGTTGATATTTATACAGATAAAGTTTGTTTTTGGAATATACAATGGTCGGTTAATGATAGCAGCCAGAGTAATAATGTAATGCGATGTTCGATTCAACTGAATTACAAATGTACACTAGAAATGCAATTGAGCGGCTGAGCAATATCTAAATGTGTATGAATGAGAATTACCGACTTGAGCATTGTTGGCAACCGAACAAACGCAACAGTCCACATTCCAATCAACAATGGAAAATTGACACAGTCGAAGTAGATGCACAAAAAAGCGGTTCGACATTACTTTTCTATATTGATATGGGAACGTTCTTGTATGAAGCAGAAGCAAAAATAAGGTGATTCTTATCGTTATTCTAGTCATCATACAGACTGGATGATGTCGAAAGCAATCACAATCGAGAACATCATAATCTTTGATATTAAAGATGTGAATCAAACTACCAGTCGGTATAACATGGCACATAAAATGAAGCACATTCAAAACATTCAAGTTTATGAAGAGTTTCTCCAAAAAATTTCTATTTAACATTTGAGATTTCTGTTTGTGAAAAACTCTCCATGTTTTAGGCATTAATATAAACATGTCGCTTTAATCGTTCGTCGTTGCACCGCCGTCGCATAAAATGAACACATCTCAAGATAACAGTCATAATACAGGCGACAATATTTGTGTTAGTTTGTTGGTTTGTTGATTTGTTGGGACAAACTATGGTGGACCAACCTGTAATGGCGATCTTCGCCGACCACTTGGACGTGCCGTCCAGCACGCTCTGATAGATGGCCTTCATGTGCCCCGAATGGTTCTTTTCCTCCATGCCGAAGACATCCCTGAATCGTTACAATTTAGAATATTCGCAATGGCTGCAATGGCGTTAACACCCTGTATATTTGTACACATTGGGAGACATCTAGTCAAGCAGAGGATTTGGACTACTTCAAGGCGGCAACTAAATACATTCATTTTAACCCTATTGTTGGGATACAATGCTTGAAATCAATTTTCCTAACCTTGAAGTAGCCATTATCTACGGCACAACTTTACAACTTCATAGTGGCTCACGAATGATGAAAAATTCATGCCTGGTGACATTAATGACACGCGTTTGAAGCACCCTAATCACCGCAATACAAAAAGAAATGGAAAATCGATCATTACGAATGCGTTGGCCTGAAATTCACCTGTAAATTCGGACAAACTCGCGCATATAAAACGTAACATTTACATAATTAAATCATCGATTGGTAGAAGATCCACAAGATAAAAGAAGTCGAAGGTGGTTCGAAGCGAAGAGAGGGGGTTGGTTGGTAAAGTGGGATCGTACCTGATCAGCTCGAAGATTTCGGGTTTCTCTCGCTCGCGCTGCTTCATGCGTTCCTTCATCGCCGTGATGATGCTGTTGGCTTTATCCTCGGCGCCATGCTTGGAGCTCTTCTCCGCGGCCCCTGTGTACATGACAATAGAGGAAACAGTAAGTTACCACAATTTGCAAGCTTCACTTTTTACACATCTGCACAAAAAATTCAATTATTATTAGGTTAGATTTTGCTCTACGAATTTCTACTAATGGATCTCCATTCTTATGAATTATCGAATTTGGCCAATTTGATTTATGAGCTACTAACATGAGCGAACAATGTAACACTTAATGTTCTGTTGTATTTTTTGTAGTATGTTTAGGTTGAAATTTTGCTATTTCACCACAGAAAGCGGTAAAAATAAAATAAAAAGAATAACTTTGGTTGTACTTTGGTCTTATACATCGAAAAGATTAACTTAATGGACCGTAAATGTAACTTAATCTTAATTTTCCTCTAATATTCAGAATTAATTTCGCGGATATAATAAATAAAGATATAAAAGTGGTTATAATTCAACCCCAACGCCATCTGGTTGTGAATAGCTTAAAATAGCTCATTGCTTGTCTGATATTGTCTCGTTTAATTTTTGTGCTGTGTAAAAAGTGTGTCGCTTGATGTGCGCACGAATATGATCGGCTGTATTGCAGGATATTAACTTACTCTGGAGGCAGTCGGCGTTGAGCAGATCCTTGCACTTCTCGTGGCACTTGACACCGCACTCGGTACACCGCACACCCTGCCTGGCGATGCCCCACAGCAAGCCCTCGCACTCATAGCAGTACGTCGGCGAGGTGGCCGTCCAGAGTACAAAGTTGTGCGGCGTTGTACTGCTGATCGGATAGATGAGCGCCTGCAGCGTCTTCTTGTAGACGTGCATTTTCTGTGGGCAGACAAGAGGCGCACAGCGTGCCGGAGCGCACCGACGCACGAATTAGCATCCAAGCCTCGGGCTGGCGGAGTGCGCGTCCGCAAAAACAACACATCCCCAACACACGCAAAACGCAAATTCATATCGTAAACGTTGCTGGCGGCAAACAAGAGTGATCGAAAGAAAGTAACGAACAACAATCAGTAAAACGAATACCGAAATTGCATAACACGTACAAAACTAAACGCAACGCCAATATGCGAAACAGAAAAAAGTAATGCACTCGCACGAGAAACAAAACTAGATACGTTAAGGTACAATTAGTTCAGCCAATGCAAAAGTAATCAACGTATTTTCATCAATTTTCATCCACAGATTTCGCGCGAGTTTTGCACGGCGTTCGTGAATTACTTTATCCTGTTTTCTGCAATCGAGTCTGAAGAGTACTTCGGCGCTCATTAATTCTCACGTTAATTGTCGTTTGGTGAAAATTCGCCGCCGCGTTTCGGTATTTATACGTTCATTACTTTCTTCTAGTACATTCTCTTTAGTGCGCACTAATTTTACTAAATAAACCAAGTGTCTTGAAGCTGGACTCAATAACAAAGCGGTTTCTAAGTAAACTTTATCTAATCATAATGCAAAGGCGGCTCAAAAAATCGCAAAATTTTATTACTTGTTAGTTAGTTGTGTTGTAAATAGTCAAATGTAAATTGTGATTAAATTACTTTCAAAACTTTTCACCAAACCACAAAATGATATTGCATTATTACACAGTTAAAAGTAGTTGTTGAAAAGTTTTCAAATTAATTCACTTTTTGGGTGTTTTGTAAGCGTGGAACGTTCGTTTTGTAAAATACAGCTGCAGGTGATAGATTTTTATGTAGTAGTATTATTATTTGTTGTATTGTAATGTCAATAATAAGCATGTTTGTTTGTTTGCATGTTGCTCAAAAACATAGTTCAAAATCGTTGCAAAATTCCTACTGATTTTTTCGTTCAAAATATGACGTTGCCATCAACTTTGCATAGAAAACGTTCGGCAATTATAAATTTAGAGTAATACAGAACGACTACTTGGTTTCAAGCTACGCTTTTACCCTTACCAATGCAAGCTGTAAAGTTTAATGTCAGAAAAAAACACACATTATATTCCATCGCTTGGTATATATAGGTATAGTATAAAGAGTTGTAACATAGTTCACATGGTGATAAATCAATTCAAAGTGAGTTAAAAAGTCGGTAGTAGAGTAGGTAAGTAGTCAGCCAACGACAATCAAAATGTGGGGCACAGTGTCAAAATATTTTACACAAGTTAACTATGCAACCAACATTACATTTGTTGTGTAATGCGTTGCATACGTTATTAGATGATTTATTTGATTAAAATTGAACTTGTATTAATGTGTGAGTTGTTAAATAATTGCACATTTGCGTAACTTACCAATTCCTCATCGTTGAGTGTGGCCCTGGGGACGGCGGAGGTAAGGCCAGCGTTGCGCTTGGTCGCCGCCATCGTCTACAGAACAGAAATGCAAGTCGCAATTAGCTGAGGCGGACAAATAATCCCACACCGCCCACACGCCGCCATGTAGCCATGAATTCGCCATTTTGGGCACTCGATTCGAGCCAACATGGCCGACGTTTGTGCGGCGACTAGAATTTAATTTTGTATGAAGCACTAATGATATTTTAATGAGTAACAGAGTGTTTCACAACTCATTCGCAACAACTAACGCAAGATAAAGTTATTAAACACTCTGCCATCAATGTATTGGAATTATTGGCGTGTAATTTAGTAGTCTGAAACACATGATCTAAATACAAAAATTTATTAGTCATCGGTTGCACTTAGAAGCGTTATTTTGGTGATGCGTCTAATAAAAAATAAACAGCTCGGTCGTACAAGGTGATAAAAAACCTGGAAAATTCAAAACGAAAACAAAAGCCGCAGCACGACCCTGCGCAAAATCTACTTACCGTTGAACTTGTTAAAAAAATATTCACAAAAAATCACAAACAAAAGCATGAACGATGAGTGTGTATGCATGCAAATGATTTATCTAAATATGTAAATTGCTAATTCGATTGTATATTTTCATTCATACACCATGCTACGGCTACGAAACGATCGCTGCAAATCGGTCGTGATTGATATTCACATCGATACACTGCTAAAAAGGTACGGCACGACAGAGAGATAATAAAGTGACGGGGAGGATCGAAAACAAATGTCGACGCTTGAAAACATGGCCGCCGCATACAATTGATGTTGCGTTTTATTTCATCAAAAAAGCGCCGAAATGGCACTGCGGCAATGCTTCAAGCGTGATTGTTTTGTTTTCGATGCGGTTTAATTATACGGAAAATGTGTTTATGTACAATGAAGACTGAATAAACACATTTCGCAAAGTTTTGTTCGCAATTTGTTCATCGAGCGGCACAAATTGAAAGATACACAACGGATGAACAAAGTGTACACAAGTAGAAAAAAAACTATTGAATTGTGTGGTGATTTGTTGTTATCAATCAAATGTATCCCGATCGATATTGAAGCTTGATCGTGTCGACTAGTGTCTACGTTCGTCTAGCGTTCTACTTCGCTACGGCAAATATCGTCTATGTCTGGCGTTAAACAGCTAAGTTCTGACATTAATCGTAACTCACATTCGCGCACGTCACAAGTTTCTTTACGTTCAGCTAACAAATACATAACATCGAATCAATAGAAATAGAAGCAGAAACTGCAGAAAAAGAGAAACAGGTGCGCAACATTCATTTTGATTATTTCGTAAATAAAATCAGAGAGTAAATCACGAAACACAAAAACTTGAGAAACAAGAAATCAAGAGTAAATCAAGAGTTCAAAGTTGAGTTACTTGAGTAGTACGTTCCAGAAGAGTGTAAATAGTAAGTATAAGTAAAGAGAATAAGTAAGTAAGTAATGTTAAAAGAGTATTTTGCACTGATGCACTGCACAAACGCAAATAACTGGCTCTGGTAGTGCAAAAGTGAAGCGTTCCAACAAAGTACGTTATCACAAAAGTTATGTTATGTTAAATCTGTTAAGATTACACTTGCAAAAAGAGTTTCCAAAAGTTGTAAAAAAAATAATAAGAGTCAAAAAGTACGGGTAGCAGTAACGAGTCGTTCGATGATGTCATATCAGAGAATCGAATGTTCAATGTTAATATCAGAGATATAATATATATAAAAAACAGTATATGTTGAAAATGTCGTAAGGTCGTTAATAACAAAGTAAACAAATCGAATCGCTAACTTTTTAATTAAATTCAATAATAGTTTGAATATACCTTGAGAACCTGCAGATTGGTCAGTGGTCAAACGATGCATTTGAAGGGGGGACGCAAACACCAGTAGCAGAGGGAGGTTTTTGTTTTTGGTTAGATATAGAGAGAGAAATTAAAAAACACAAATGCACATTAGTTCCATTGATAATCACCACATGACGACATCAAAATAGGACAGATATCTACACATTTTTTAATTTTAATAATCAGAACAATTTTTCAAAAATACGTAATTTTTAGTTTCGTGAAAAATTTTAATAAAATGTTCTGATTATTCATCATGGCTGATTGTCCACTTCGGCGACGTAACACGTAAACTCCACACACACGTCACACCGAAAATAAGAATGTATATATAGAGGGTAGATTGATCGGTGAAGGCGACGAGATAAGGTAAAGGTAACGATGTTTGCATGCGAAAGCGGTTTCGAGAGAGCAAGAAAGCCGAGCGCACTTTTCATTTTTCATTTCGGGGCCCGAATCTGAAATTACGGATCGCCCGCGGGCGCGACACGCCGCCTCAGATTAAGGGAGCTTAATCTGACATACGGAATCAGCCCCGAGGGTGCCCCTGCCAAACACACTCGACGCACCAACAACTGTACACGCACACTCAAACCACCACCGGGAAAATCAAGGGTCAGAACACCTGCGTTGTTCCACACACAACACACACATCCACATTAATATTCACGCTCGCGCAGTGGCTCAATAGCTCAGATGTTCACTTGCTCCGTTCATCATCTACTCATTCAGGTTATAGTGGTTGCGTAACATAAGAGGAGGTTTTGTGTGAGGCGTTCTGGGAGTTGGCAATTGCTCTGTATATGTACTTTTAGAAACATACCAGGAGCTCAATATCATACTAGTATCACATTAATTGGATTTGTGGTAAATCTAAAATCACATCATAGAGTTTAGGTTAAGTGGCTTTAGGTTAGGATTTATAAAAAAAGTTTTTTTCATAAATTTGCATAGAAAAAAATTATTTTCATCAAAAAAATTTCTTCCACAGACAAAACATGATGCCACCGGTCCGTTTTCACTAAAAGGAATAAGGGATGTTTATATACACACTTCTTTCATTCTTATATTCCGATATTTCCCAACAAAAGTTGCATCCGATATGGTCCTGCAGAATTTCCACTTTTCAAGACCCACAATTTACATTATCATAAATGATGATGAATGATGACACTTACATCCACGCCAGATCCTTCATACATAAATGAACGCGTCGGTGTGCGTATTGGTAGAGGAACTGGTCCGCATAACAAATCTCGTGATCGTAGGATAATGTACCGCACGTACGTTCGAGTCGTATTACTGTCGAAATAATGACGTTTCGGCGTGCGCATAGCACCTACGAGGTGGTAAATGCTCATTGTCGTGGCGTATTGACAAATGTGGATTTATTACCGTACGTGTGTAAACATAAAGCAAGCCGTCGTCATCATGGTCACCAACGGACGGATTTAAAATGAAAAATAGCATTGATTCAATTTTAATAATAAACTTGTTATGCGTTCCAGAGATAAAAAGAGCGAGGATTTAAATATTTTTCATAATCGTTCACACCGTATGCATTCACTCAAATTCACAGTAATCCCACGTCGAGAAAAAGTAAATAAAAAAATCTCCAGCAAGTTCCCACGTTCGGACGATCCAGAAAAGGCGTGAAAATAATATTTATCGACGGAAAGAATGCTCTTACCAAGTCGGATACCAGTGGAATTGATTTTCGCCGTGGTCGGATATCGGGCATGCTGTCGATGTTGCTGTAGAACGGGTTGTCTCCCGGATGCCTGCCAACGACACAAACATTATTTATTAAAATATATCAACATCAAACGCATCCGCAATACAACTCAAAAGACTCCGATCTATGCGATAAATAAAACTCATTCATAATATTAATATAAATTAAAAGATCTGTTTCTGATGTCGTTTGACGATAACGATGATGAAATAAATAAAAACGCGAGCGGCAGAAAAATAAAACATTCGACAAAATCACAAATTAGATTTTTATTTCGAACAAGACTGACAGAGATAACATCGTAAGCGGGCAGCGCGGACTGCGCTCGAGGTAAACTCAATTAGTGCGCTCTTCTATCTATTAATTGGAATTTCCTTTCTATATCTATATTGCCATTAGACGTGCTCAGACGCCGGAACGCTCGCTTGCCCGGCGACTCCACTCTATCTAGTTGCGACGATGAGACTCTATTAGGTTTTAAATGGCTATTAATGTTTTTTCATGTTTATATTTTAGTACAGCTGTACTATTTTTACAGTGTGGATATTTTATTATGCTCTATTTGTTTGGTGTTTATTTTTGTTTGGAATAATATGGAAAAATAGATGCTGCAATGCAGGTAACTTGTAAATTTTCGTTTTAATTCCGCGGTTAGTGAGGTGAGAGCATATACGTTGTAATTATACAAAATTACTCGGTAACTCCCACAATATCCGTAAAATATATTGGATATTGATCAAATATTTTTGGTATAAACTGGGTGATGGTAGTTAAAAAATAAAAAGTATATAATACCAGTTTTCCAAATGTGATTTAAATTTTAGATATAAAGGATATTTAACTATAACTATGATTGAATCTCAATGCCAACTTTTATCCTATAGAAAAGGGCTGTCTTTAGGGTTTTCCCGGCAATTATTTGATTTTTTTCTCGCCGTAAAAACCATCATTGGTTTTTAACGAACGTTTTAAAAAAAGAATTGGCCAAATTGGTCTAAGCGTTGTTGAGTTATGCGCGTACCAACGGATTTTGCGATTTATTTTTACATTATAGATGTACAAAATTTCTTGAAAACAAGGTTGGCTTTATTTTAAAAATACTTCTATCAAATTAATTGATGAACATTAACCGTAATTATCGACTTAAGCACTTAAACCCTGACACATCTTATCGGTTAATATCACTGTTAGTATCGCGGGCAACAACAATTACAAAGGCTAATTGGCAAGCTCGCGGCATTAATGGCGATAATGATAATTTCTATGCTGCGATATAACCGGGCGTTTAGTGCTTGTGGTTTCTCAAACACATAATCTCCCAATATTTATACATTCTCGTTTATTTAAATATCTATTTTAAATATTATTTTCCGATTTTTTTATCCACCTTCCATGTTTTAGAAAGATGTTTACACAAACATGAGTATTTATTGTGTTTAGAACCGCAGGCTCAAAAAAACATGATGCGCCATTTCGCTTAAACGCCAAATGCCAAATGTGCCCGAGAGTCTAAGCCGAAGCAAACTTTGTAATTAGAAAAACAAAGTTTACACAAACACCGCGTGCTGTTCCGGATTCAAGCACGAAGAGAACGCAGGAAAGTCAACAAGCCGGCTTGTAAAGTCTCGGAAAGCCCGCGAAACAAATACGGCGAGAGTGTTGAAATGGCGAACATAATATTAATCTAGCAGCGAATATTTTCATAACGTATTATAATAATTATTTAAATAAATTATTTACTCACCCATTGCCTCTGCCAGCTGTGTCTCCGCCAAGGCCGGTGCCATTCTAAAAAACAAAATTATAACAATTAATACAACCAAACGAAAAAAACAATTTATTGCATATAACAAACATCGCAGCACAAACATCATTGAACAAAATATAAAATCAATACAATTGTGACGTCTGGGTTTTACAAACAATTATCGCACGCGATTGCAACTATATCTATACAATTACAATTGCATACGTTAGTCAATAAACGCATTTATTTGATTTCGTTAAATATTTTTCAAAAAACCAGTTCAAAACAAGCGTATTACGTTTATCCGTATTACTTACAATCATTAATTGTTTTACTTTTTCTCTAATTGCGTTTCGTTAAGCGTATAAGGTGTGTTTATTCGTGGGTATAATACTGCTAAATATTTAATAGTTTACATTTGCTTGCAGTGAGTTATTACATTATCATAAAGTCGATATTGCCAGGATTTTTGTTTGTAGGTTAGTTTGTATGCCAGTTTCATTAAAAATTCGTTAAAATATCATACGTTTAGGTTATGTTACGTTTATCACTAGTTTCATACTGCAGTGTGCATTTGTTTCGCTAAAATGACGACGACAATGACGGTAATACTCACACTCAAGTGTTTCAGTCTACATTAAAGCCATTTTTGTTGTGGTGGTTGTTTCATTTTTTCTTCTGTTATACATGTAGGTAATAATTACAATTGTTACTCTGCATATGAAAATATAATAAATACATTCTGAGTACATGTCACAAATGACTAACCATTTCCTTTCATTATTTTGTTGTTTCTCGTTCTATTTCTGGATGAATAATAGTGAAAAATTTACATGCTACAAGAATTTCATTTATGATGCATTGAGTTATCCGCCATACTGAAATTTATTCTTGTGTCACGTAAAAACAACACAATTATATTTTGACAGTTGTAGAGTACAATATACTTTCTGTGAAGTTTCTGTTATATATTCTGAAGTTATGTTATATAGTCATCTAACTATTATATTACGCATTACGATTATTTGCTAATAGTAATTATTAGTTTCGTGTATTTTTATTGTAGTGCGCTGGAACATGGACGCTAATGTCTTTAATCATTTCTCAAGCTGTCACAACGCGCATTCAATAAGCAATAATATGGCAATCACATTAACGACTAACTATTGTTTCCTGCCCTTGACGAGCCAATTGCTTCGACATTTAATATCGTAAAAGATTGAAGTTAATACAGAAACAAAAGTGGAAATTCAATTGAATTATCGATTCCTACGCTCAACAAAACACAAAACACAAAAAAAAAACAAATCAACGAGCACGGAATGACAAATAAATTGCAGTATAAATAATAATAAAACGTAAATAAAGTAATAACAACATCATAATTATTATCCACTGCTTGTACATATCTGAACGTGTAATAATGAATGTAAATGTTAAGGGCTGTTCGTAAAGTATCAACATAAAACTTCCTTTATACACTGATGTGTTTTTAATTGAGTCGCAGTAGTTACAATCCATTCCGGAACCTACAAAATGATGCATTCGTGCACTCAATTAAAAATAATTGCTTGTTACTCGCTTGTTGAACATTCTAGACATTCTTTGCTTTATTTTTGCTGTTGTGAAGTAAACCCACTTGTTGTTTTATTTATAGCAAAGGAAACTGTTGCATGTTGTACATGTTTTCATTTAATAAACAAGTTAAATGAGAAAATTAATTGGAAGAAAATATAATTCAGATTAAAGACAAACAGAAAACTAAATATACATGTCAAAATGTTTCAATAATGTTTCAATACCAATTATATCAGCTGGTAATATAATATATTAATCATTTGCGCAATTATAGCTACTAACGAGTATTGCTCTTTATCTGAAAATTATTTTAATGGCCATAATAATACCTGAAAATTATTAATATGTAGTTAAAATGTTGTTAAATTAAGTATAAATTTATAAATTAATTTCAATGCAACTTGCTTTTATGTTTATCAATTATATCCAGATTTAATTAGTCAATCTAAAATTACACAAATATTCAATTTCTGCAAGAATTATTTTTATACCACGTTGAGTAATTAATAAAAAACTAGAATAAACCTCAATTCTTTCATTAAAAATGCCGTGAAATCACAAATATATATTCGAGTATGCGCTACATCCGAAAATGGCTCAATTCGCTATTGGTTTGTCTATCGATTGCATTTGAATGTAAAATTTCATGCTAATTTTCACATACAAAGCAGGAAGCCGAATTGGGCTCGCCGGATTGACATATCGAAGTGTAATTGGATTCGGAACTGCAACTTCCCTGCCGGAAAATCGACTTTTTTTTCTCATAGAAGCAGTAAACATTTATTTTCAAAATCAAATGTTTATCTCTCTAAATCTGATACTGGAAGAGTTATTAAAAAAAGCGTCGTCAATCATTTGATTCTTCATCGATGCAAAGTTGTGAAAGTTGTTCGAATATAAATCATTTTATTCATAAAGTTAAATTGCTTCATTTAAATACGGAAAGTCTAAATGCGATAAAAACTTGCACGCGCTGTATCATCAAATCTTTAAATCCGCCGAGTTCTTAACTTCCTCTTCGCAATGAGTAAATATTAAGCTCATTGATAAAATCGAATGTCTTTCTTAAGCTCTCTGGGATTGTAATAAATCCACGAAATTATTTCCTCGGCAAAAATTATTACAAAACTTACCGATGGTATAAACCCAACATTTTCAAAATTAATTAATTTAGAAATCGTTACGAGTTGAATTCGGAAATACCTGAAGCAACAGTATAGTTGGTACGGTTAGTATGTTTAGCATGTGGCAGTCTGAGGAGTAAAGCTCCAAGTCTAAGCACAACATTCCGACCCGCTGCTTGTAATAATATTTACCTTAGAAACTAACAAACTTGTAGTGCTATGACTATGGAGTATGTTGTCTATGATGGCTATGATTCCAGCATATCCGGCACCTGCATATTCGATGTATCAAACTTTGTGTTTGCACGCGTGTAATTTTATACCATTAGTATGATACTAACCCTAACCACCAGATTTAATGATACTGTGATATTCGATAATCTTCTATATTCCAGGATGATCGAAATGTTATATTTGCTAACCGGATGGAGTTGAGGATGATGTGTTTGATGATATGGAACGAAATATCTTTGCACGTAATGATTTGTATTCAATTTGATTTTAAAAGGTACACAGTTTCAGTTATAGTGTTATTTATGATTTTAGAAATTTAAAATGGCTTTAACTTGAATTATTTGCAGTTTAATATTTTAATTAATATTTTATACATTATTTTTAATCAAATTTTAGTTATATTATAGGTTATATTAGGTATATTCAGTTTGGTTAGGAAATTGGTATGTAAATCCATCGGAATTCAACGCGATAATTCAAATCGTAATATATTCTGGAAGTTAAACTATTCCAAAAAGTTTAGTTTAAGTATTGTTTTGAAAAATTGACTTGAATTGCATTCGCTTTAAATACTAATGCGGTTGTGTTTAATTTTATTCAATATCTTTGTTTCGTATCTAGTCAAGAGTTTAAATAAAGTTTATCGCATTGATGCGTATTATCGAGCAGCCTCAATAGAGTCTGTCTGGTACGTGCATGCAAACATATTTGTTTCACTCCTAGGCTGCTGACGTGTTCGGGATTCAGGTTCAAATTGCGACAAACATTCAACATGTACATTTAATTACACATCGTGTGCACGCTATCGTTGAAATGCTAAAGTTTTACGTTTCCCTTAACGCCACCAATGTTGTGCAATTTCATCAAAGTGAACTGAACAAAAGTTGCTTCATTCGTATGCAGATGTACGAATATTACATTTTGGTTCATTATCGAACTGAAGCTTCATATAGTTTATTTTGTATCATCTGCTAATATCTAATTACTCTAACAATGTAAAGCGTCTTGGTTAGGTTATGTCATCTTCATAATATAACTAACATTGGCAAAAGCTAAAAATGTTGCCCATTTTTATATATTTAATTCTAGGTTATGTAATATAGTTGTTTTTGGTGGTAACAATTAAAGCAGTTTTTGTGTGGGTATTACATATGGGTTTACCATCGATGCGGAATTATTGACGATTGTCACATGTTCGTTGTTTCAATATTTTCCTAACCTATCCCCTTGGCTACTGGCGGACACTGGCAGTTCCCTACATAGTGCTACATCAATTTAAACACACCCTGTTATTGTGCATAGGTTATTACGCCACTGGCTCGCTATAAATAGGTTTTTATGTTTTAACATTAATGTAGAATTTCTGCATTCCGCCAAACATGCTTTTAGCAGCAGAAGCGGCAGTCGAGGCAACATTAGTAGCCGCCGAAACAGCAGTCGATGCCGCTGAAGCGGCTTGAGACACGGCCGTCGATGCCACATTCGTAGCAATATTTCCAACAGAAGCCGGCGGTGCCGGAGTGACAGCCGCGGCAGCAAAACTAGCCGGCGTCGGGATGCTTCCCGAACGCCTGCGGAGTGATGCCGCAGCCTCTGCAATGCTACCAACCTTTTCTTTCTCCGTCGTGGTTTCGGTGACTTTCTCCTGGTTGCTCTTCTCTTCAGCTTTGCGCTCCTTTAAAGCCTTAAGCAGCTTCCACTTGCTGCCCAATGGCCCCGAGTCTTTGCCGTCATCCTCGCCCATAACGCTGACTGGCACTTCAATTTTGATCTTTGGCACATCCGCCGGCAAAATCTCTTCTTGCTGGACTGCTACTTCTTCCTTGGGGGATGTCGCCTTTGGGCTGACACTTGCTGAAACTGTGGGCTCGGGAAGCGTAATCTTGCACCTGGCAAATTCATCCGCGATGGCAGATTCAGCTTCTTCAAACTCGCTAATGCTACGCTGCGGACTGTCTGGCCCGGATGTGGCTCCCGACGAGTCGTCAGCAACGCTCTTATCTTCCTCTGCTTCCACAGCGTCCTCATACTCTATGGATTGCTTGTAATCATCTTCTTCAATGGAATCATCTTCAATGTCAAGATGTTGACCTCTAGCTTTTGCGGAACTGATAACCAGTAAATTCTTCTCAATGTCAGTAGTAGCAACAGGTTTGACAATCATTTTTAGCTCTCGTAATACAAATGACATTTTTTCCTTAACTTCTTCATCTGGTTCATAGGATTCTTCAACCTCTTCGACTTCTTGCACCGGTGGACCCATTTCTGCTTCTAAAGCTGTTTGGCGTTCCAATTCTTCTAATTTTTTCAATTCATAGCAGTACCATTCATCTTCCGAATCAATACTATCTTCTGTACTTTGTCTTCTAGAAGAAACCCTTGACGTGCTACGCCATGAATGAGTACTCCTACTATCATCATCGTCACCGCGAAAGCCTGGAATTTCTAAACTGGCTTGATGTCTTGACATTCGACCAAATTGAGCCCGGAAACTAGAAGCAGGACTACCTTCACTGTCTGGTCGATGATTCTCGAAGCTTTGAGAGCTTTCAGATGATTTTTGTTCAAGCAAAGATGGAATCTTTTTAAAATCACCATTTATAACATTTGCATTACTTCCATTTATCGCAATAGGTTCAGTACTACGAACTGGCTTTATAACATCTTCTACTATAGGCTGGGGTTGTTGTGGTTGTGGAGATACAATAGGAATAGTCATGCTGGGAGCAACGGGTACCGGCATTGGTGGCGGTTGAGGAATTTCCGCACCATCCGAGATTCGGTCATTACTGGCGTCCTCTAATTCGTCATAAATAGATGATGAAGTCTGCCTTTGTCTATATTTGCCGAGCGCTCTAGACACAGCGAATTCCATACTTGCTCCTCCAAGAGTTACAGGAGGGAAACTCTTGCATTCGCTTCCAGCAGAATCTTCACTTTTATCAGAAGGACCCGAGTTACGTTTATTTTCACCTATAGTAGCGAATATTCCGCTTGAACCACTACCAGTACTCTTTCCGGATATTTCTTCATCAACACCGCCAAAGTGATCAGATACATCTGTATCCTGATTAGGCGTAGTGCTTGTTTCAAATTGTTGTTGATGAACTGGACTCAGTAACTTAACTGTATCTATATTTGCAGAATCACCTGACGCAGAAGGAGGAGAATCTTTTGACTTAACAGGCATTTTCTCAAATAGGTTGTCCCGTTCGTTCATAGACTCAGAATACATACTGCAACTGTCCTCGGAACGGTCATCTTCAGATACCATTGAACTAGCCCGATGACTACCCCACTCATGTTCAGACTGTTCCGGATCAGACAATGATTGAGCATGATGAAAGTTTTTTCTTTTCGCTTTCTGCAACATTCCGGACATGGAAGAAATAATTTTCTTCTTCTTTTTATTGAGACTACTTTTACTAAACACGTTTTTATGGTGAGCGGACGAAGGAGTAGGGGGTTCTTCATCAGTACGACTGTTTCCAGGCAACGAGTACGAGCGATTTCGTTTGGAAAGATGCAAATCAGGCAACCATTGACTTACAGAATTCATCGCCGACTTAATACTTCCACGTTTGATTAATTTCTTAGATGATTTCTGACTGGGCGCAGTCGACTGCATCGCCTGTTCGTTCATATTACAAGAAATATATCCTGCTTGAGAAACAAGTAGACCCGAATCATAATATTTCCTATCTGCGCCATGCTGTTGTTGTTGTACAAGATATTCAGGCACATTGCGGTTTCGCAAATCCAGTTCCAAGTAAGAACCATCCTGTCGTTGGCCCCAAGCGTAGGCTTCTTGTTGATTTTGATATATTGGTTGTGATTGGTACTGAGGAGGATGCTGATGTTGATGCTGAGGATGTTGTTGATGTTGCTGAACATGCTGCTGATGTTCAGGATGGTGATGGGGAGAATGTGCAGCGACCATGTGCGGCGAATGTTGAGGATGCGCTGGTGGATGTGGTTGATGTTGCGGTGTCCTCAAGTTAGGTGGATGTCTTCGTTGTTGATCCATGTATGGAGAATAAGCGCTCTCTGCAGTAGTGTCCATGGACCGCATTGAGCTGGACGTGGAAGCGCTGTCTACGTAACCATCGGGATGCGGTGGAAACGCCAGCCAATTCGATGGGTCGTTGTAGTCGACAGGAACACCTCCGGCTGCTGACAGTCCTTCATACCGGCTGGATGATGTAGGATAATAAGTTAACGCATCTGTGATATTACCAGTAGGAAACATTGTTCGTTGCATAGCTGTTTTATAACCATCGTGATTTTGTATGTTTTCACTGCCGTTACTAGTCGAGTAGGATCGATTCAAAGACTTGCGACGAATAGCGTGCATATCAGGACTGCTTTGATAGTATTCTCGACCCTGTCTTTCATGGCGTGCTTGTTGACGTTCTTGCGCCAACTGTTGCTGCAGCTGGTGTTGCTGCAACAGTTGTTGTTGTTGCTGTTGTAAATGCTGTCTTTGGGCGTGGAGTTGTTGCAACTGTTGTGATTCACTGCTTTCGTACGGTTGAACCAGGTCGGGATATTTTACAGCATGCGCATGGTTCAACTGCCCTGAGCTATTGCTCGTATAGACCGAAGTGAAAGAATCTTGTCTGCCACCTGCCATTGAATAAATAGCAGGTTGCTCACTAGGTGGTGGTTTGTGATGATGCTTAGGCCTGGGACGCGGCGATACGTTAATGTCAGACGCAGGTGCTGGAGCAGGTACAAATGTCCCGTATCCTTCAACCGCTTCCAAACTACATGGAGACTTTACAGTGGTAAATGCAGAGAGATGATGACCGCCGGGTAAAATAGCACTGCAAGTTGGAACCTGCAACACTTCAGCGGCTGGCGGGTGAGGTGACGTAGATCGCAGTTGTTGCAAATATTGCAATTGTTGAGCTTGCTGCTGGGCTTGCTTAGATGCAGGACCGTTCTTTGGTGAGCCAGGCGACTTCTCCAGACTAGACCATCCGCTCATTGACGACAGACCAGAATCAGATTTTGCAGTTTGAATCGTGGTCGACGAATGCGATTTGCTGCGCTTGGGTGAAGTGCGCGGCGATTTTGGTGAGTGTGGAACCTTCGGACTGAGACGACCACCGTGTTCGCTACTAATTGACTTGGATAGCTTAGATCCGTCGGCACCGAGGAAGACTGGACTGGGTGCGCGCTGCGTATGGCTATGACTCAAACCTGGCATCAGGTAACCATCGCTGGAGACGATGTCTTGAGGCGCAGGTGGAGGTGGACTAGGTTCTTCGTTCTTACTAAATTGCTGTTGCTGCTGATGGTGGGGCGACGGTGTTGGCACCGGATCTGTGCCGATGTAACCATCCTGCCTTGTGCGTACGCTGCTTATTGAAAGCGTTGGAGATTGCGCCCGCTCCGACTTGACGCTGAATATCGACGGGGTCGAACAGTGAACTGTTTCAAAGGGCACAGATGGCAACAACTCCTCTCCGTCTGGTGCATAGAAGGGATTCATCGATATAAACGGGTTGTGCGAGGAGGCGGTTGCCGCTGCTTCAACAGTTTCGGCATGGTGCACAGCAGCACTGTAAGCCAATCGGCCCGTAACTGTAGTGTACGGCGCCGAACAGGAACTGACTTCCAGCTGGCGCCGCCTGGGCGATGTTGGCGTTCTTGCGCCGGAAGCCAACGTCTCGGCAACCTCGTTATCAGTAGCGATCATGCTCTCGCTCATCGACAGTCTGGAACTGGGCCGAGAGCTGGGTCGAGACATATAGGATATTGTTGTGGGGATATCCGATTTCCCGAGGATCATCATGTCGTCATGATCACGACCTGCTGCACTAGAGAAACTCCAATTCTCCGCGGGCATTAGTTCTTCCTTTTTCTTCGCAGCAGCCCCGTCCGCACCGCTCGCTTCTTTATGTGGCGACTCTAATAGCTTCCGTTGCAGTTGCTTAATGTTGAAGGAATCCTGCTGCAGCTTGGCGCTTAACCTGTCCAACTCATTGAGCTTCTCAACGGCAACCTTATCGATGGAGCTGATGCGCGACAGCTGTGCTAAATCCTGTTCACTCACGCACGGCGAGTCCCCTCTGTAGTCTTTGTAATCCATTGCAGAGTACACATCCTGTTCGTCTTCTAACCGAATCTCCTCTTCCAACTGCCTCAGTTCCATCTTATCGTCCCCGTTGGTGTCATTATTAGACTCTTCGCGTTCCTCCCAAATCATCCCCAATTGTTGACTGGGTTTTCCCGTATCGGGTGGCATAAGGTCCTCCCGGTATGCCGCGTTCAGACTCCGGTAGAAAGCTTCGTCCGGCACATTGACGTCCTCCATATCCAAAGTCATTATCTCCTGTACTATTGCGCCTTGAGACGAATGCCGCGTTACATCCACGCCTTCTTCAAGTCCGTCCTCCACCGTGCCATTTCCGAGTATCTCTCTTATAACCTCCAACTCTCCAAGTCGACCGTCCATCAAGGCGGATCTTTCATTCCCTTGAGTCGCACTGCCGGAGGTGTAAAAGTCCAGCAGTTGAGCAATGACACTCTGTTGTTCGTAGAGTAGGCTTTCCAGCTTCTCCAGCCGCTCCCACATCTTGATATACTCCTGGGAGAGCAAGTCCAGCGCACGCCACGCATATTTCAACTCAGTCTCTAGAATATTCAACCGAGTACCCAAACGCTCCATATAGTCACTGATGATGTAATCCACATTCGGATCGTATCCGCTTGGGTGGTGCGGCATCAATGCTGAGTTGTCCATCATATCATCGCTCATCTTGCTACGCTTCAATAAACCGACGTGGATACGAATTATAACTTCTCAATAAACTTTTCATAAATCAACAGGCAATAAAATCTTCGTCAAGTACATCATTTCAAGACTCTGTCTTTAACACTCTAGTTTTAGACGCGCACTAATCTCGCTTGATATGAGACCGATATGGTTATACGAAACGTAAATTTAAATTCAAAAATTCGTTGGTTGCAAAGTGGTGCATTAGAAAGTTTCTATCGTTAAACGACGTTAGGCTTAATCAGCGTTAAACCGTTGGTTTTAATCTGTCACATAGTTGCTTCACGTTGAGTTGAGCGTGTGATGCGCGCTGGGAAAGATGGCCCGCTCCCTGCCATCGCCCAAAATCGTGTTTGGTCGCGAATGCATCCTGAGAACCACTATTTAATGTCCGCGATTAACACTCGCGCACAACTATCGCCCATCTTGGCGAACAATGTCTCAAATGTTTACATTTCACTGTTTCCGATTGGTTTAACATCTGTAATAGAAAACAGTACATGGTTAGATTAACAAATCACAGTTTTGCTAATGCTCGTTTCGTGCTGCTGCCTGCTGCGGGTCAATGCTCCATCCAAGCGAATTGGGTTACTTAAATATAAACGTATAATCTAGACAATTTTAGACCGTGTGGGTTCATCAGGTGTTAATTAAAATCGCATCAAATCAGGGATCAAGGGTTCACGTTTAAGTTAAAGGAATCTGTCTTGGAGGATTTATAATGAAAGCGTCTGGTAATTAATTAACACGTTTATTTTTCCGACACAATGTCTCATTTTTTTCGGCGAACAGGCTTTTCTCATACTTATGATGAATAGCACCTGTAAGATCCGAAATGGTGCGCGCACGAGGTCACTACGATTGCCAGAGCCATGCCGGTACGACCAGATCAATACTTTCCTTCACGCCGCCGACCCCGAGAGCCGAGAAACAGAATCAACTCCCGACCGTTCGATCGCACTGGAACGGGCACGAGCGGGCAACGCTCTTGCGGGCGAATTTGAGACGAGAGAACCGCGAAGAACCACGAGTCGGAAGTCTTTCGCATAAATTCCTAAACGGGATGTCGGTCAAAGCGAGAGCAACGAGACTAGGCCAGGCGTGCATCAGCACAGGGAAGCAAGCGGAAGAGTCAGAATCGCGAGAAGTATCGAAGCTGGGGGCTTTTATCTAAAAATAATAATAAATTTTGACGCGGCCGGCACGCTCGGCATGCATAATGCCAGAGTAGGTAAATAAATTTTGCAAAATTGTGAAACGTTTGACAATTGAAATAAATTGAAAACAGCATCTATGCATACTATAAATTTCCTCCTCAAAACTGAGGAACAAAATGTAACAAAACATTTAAAAATATTGCGATCAGAAACAAAAAACATTTTTTGAAAATAAAACTTTTGGTTTAAAACTTAAGCGTGTCAAAGTTTGTGGAACCGTGTTTTAGAAACCACATTTCTCGGGGATCCAGCCTCCATTCTCGAGGCTTCAATTATAAAGTTGTAATTTTGTTTGTCACGAGCCCAATACAGTTTCGCACCATTTTGGTATACAGCATGAGATACATATTAATTTTGCCACTCGCAAAACTTTCATTTTGTGCGACAATCCCAAACGAAAATTTTAGTCTGTATATGCAAAGCATATAACAAATACGTTTAACAAAAAATCAAATAAATTATGTCCGCAATTCTAGAAAATACAAATAGTAAAGCTAAATAGCCAGAACGTGTGGGAAGTTAGTTGGGTGAAGCTAGTTGAAAGGTAAAATATTGCTCTATCAGAACGAAAGAGAGAGATACGCGGCGGTCGGCAGCCCTCAAATCCGTCAGCGGAGACTTAATGAACTCCAAGTAAAGATAAATAGAGGGTAGGCCCAGTGGCTGACGATGGTGAAGATTTCGAGAGTTGGGTTTGAGGACTAGTTTATGTACGGATTGACAATTTCAAACATGGTCCTAACGTCCTAACTCCACACCAAAATTTAAGCCTCATCTTCAACATCACTTCAGCTTTATTTACTTTGCTACTCTACTAAAATAAAATTATCCAAAATTAATGAAGCAAAACAAAAACACAACATTAAGTGTCTTTATGCTGAAGTTTGTCTTCATAAGAATCTCCCACTTTTCTTTTTCGGAGAAAATAAACGTCAAAAACCGACTTTCATGTGCAAGCAGCAGTGACTATCTTTTATGGAGTAATATTGCAGAAAGTACAAAAGTTCCAAGGAGTGTTTTCGAGTGCCAAGCACACTTTTTTCAACTTTCAGTCATTTGCGAAGCCGTGGCATGAAGCGTGAGACGATTCAACGTGTTTTTCTTTTATTCATAACAATCTGGCGCGGTTTTTAATTAGAAAACTTTTCGGTGCGACACTCGAGCCTTTTCTCAAGAATCGGCCTTGGTCAAATTGAGTTTTTGCTCGAAAAACAAAATTTCGCAAAAGATTAAAATTTTGATTCCTGCAATTTCCTAAAGCGTGTTGGCAATGTTGACATTTAAAGAGTTTTGTTTCTGTATACACGACGCAGGAAAAGGCATTGCTTTCATGTTCGACGCGTGGTCATAAATGCAAATTTTTGCGTGCGTGTTGTTCCCCGCTTCCGGGCCTGCCAATGCCAGGCTCATGGTGCGCCTCGTCAGATTGGATAATAAAATCGGCGAAGCGATTTTCGCTGCTCATATAAAGTTCCACAACACGTTTGTGTGTAAAAAAAACATAAATATTGAATATTTGACTTGTTCGATGTAATGTACACACTTAAAAAGTGTATAAAAAACTCAATGAAAACTTTCGATATTCAACCGCGCAAATAAACTCATGACCTGAAGCGTTATGTTTGGAGCGTAAACAATATGAAATGGCAAATCAAATGGAAATGAGCGCGCGATAGTCGATAGCCGAATATTCCTGCCCAACCAACCACAAAGTTCGTAACTAGGGACAAACTAGGAAATCGTTTCGTCGGTGGTGTTCAGCAGGCACCTGCTTAGCGGCGTGCAGCCGCGAAAATCCGCGCACATTCGGTCGCTCCGCAATATATTATTCAGCGTCGTGTTATCGACCCGTCGCGCCACGTTTCCCATCGCTGTATAGCGGGTGGATTCCAACAGGGAGGCAGGGACGCTCACTGAAAACCAGATACCGACTATCGCACGGTCGCAGGCGGCTAGGCAACATTTTCGACTAAATGTTGCCACTAGGCTTCCTGCAACCGTCCGCCCCGTAATTGCGTTGTGTATGTTTTTTGACCAAAAGAGGCAGTCACAAAATAAAAACGCGGTTGGATTACAAAGTGTACCTACACGGGATATAACGCACCACACACAAAAAAAAAACATCACTTGAAAAGAAAAATGCGTGCAAAAACGTTTTTATACGCGCGCTTTACATACAAAAGTTCTACAAAACACGCGTTTAGTTTATACAACTTGTAAAAACCTTCAGGTCGTCTGAAAATTAAGTAGTCCTTGAGAGTTTGTGTATTTTACGAGTATTTAAGAAGTCTTTTAGGTTCTACAGTCATTTTACCTGCTTTAAAAGCGTTTTAACCTAAATGTAAAATCTTTTAAAATCTCTTCTATTGGTTATGTTTTATTTGCAGTTATCATTTATATAGTCATATAATATCGTGCAAATATAATACGAAAATAAATCCAGCATGAAATCATCCGTAAGAAAATGATATAAAACGCGAATGGGAATCGAAAGGAAACGCATCAATAGCATGCGCAAGCGACCGGAAAATTTATCCCTTTAAACATGGGAGTTGAATGTTTGCTTCCCGCTGTTACGAAACTTATTGTGTAAACGGTAAGTTTCGCGTCGTTGTGTATGGAGCGGCAAGTTATTTATAACAGTTTTCGACGTTTCCCTGCAGGAAAATTAATTTGCCATTCGCACAAAGCGGACAAACGGAGCGTACGAGAACACACAGGCACGCATTGTGGCCTCAGGAAGAACGAATTTCCTTTCTAGCCAGAAAAGAACAAAGAGCGATAAGAAAAAAAAAACGAAAAGAAAAAACATCACACACAGGTACAAAAGTACGACTTGAGTGGTGGAGGAGTCTGACGCCAACATGGGACGAGAAAAAGTTCTTGAAACCATGGAAGGAAACGTACTAAGCGAGCAAAGAATGCAACGCGTTCGTTAAAGTTGTCTAACATCGAATGTCACTTTGTATCGTGAGTTTGGCGAGGTTCTTTTTTATGCGCTGCGTTTAACGTTACGACTGTTCAAGTCCGACGCGAGCAGAAAAAAATCACTAGCTGGGATCTTTTATCTTTACAACTACTACCACAATGAAAAATGCAAGCTAAAAGTTTTTGTTATAGTTAACACGCTAGTCTACAACAACTTTTAATGAATACAAAAATATTGGACATAATTTAAGCAAATTGAATTAGCAGATCATGAAAAAGATATTAAAAATATTTTATGCTCGCGTCAGGACAAAAATGATTGATGTAGGCCATCAATGGGGGCAATAAATATTAAAATGAGAAATTGTCGCTTGACGTCCGTCATCCGATCGAAAGCGTGCGCTCACCCCAACGTGATTGTATCGAAACACTTCAACTTTTGCCTGCCTCATTGTGGGCGCTATCGTTAAATCTGAGGTAATCAATGAATAATGAACGCAATAATCGATTAGGAATATGAGTTCTCGTCTGGGTGATAGAACGCTTAGCATATTTAACTCGTTGTGCCATATGTGACATTTTATTAGGCGTCGTGTGCATATGCGCCCGTTGTGCACGAGATTGAATTCACGGGTGGCAAAACGGCGTGTAATTGAATTCACCTTTCAATGTCGGGCGCCGGCAGTGCACGCGCAATACATGGCGAAATCTTTCGACGCAGCCAAAACTCATCTTTCATCTCTGGCGTGATTGCCGTATGCCGAACACGACACGCGGCTTAACTGAAGCTTAATTTTCGACAGTGATTGATCACGCATCGCTTAATTAACGCGCCGCGCGCATGGATTTTGATCATTTCCACAACACACTGCAATGGCACTAAATTAGTTATGTTTGCGTTTAAATTCACGGCGCGAATCATTCTAGTCTCAATTGTTCGACGCTAAAATGAAAAAAAATTATCCTGACTTTTTACACAGCGAGAATTTGCAGTTTGGAAAAGTTGAGCGCACGCGGCGGATAGCCACTCAATTAAAGTTCATTAAAAGTTTTTCGCCTTAGTTTGTCAGCCGTGGCGATTTGTGCTTCTTTCAAGCGTTCGTAGTTGAACATTAGACAAAGCCACAAGCCCGCAAAAACTTACAACGCGAGGAACAAATGAGCGGATGCGCAACTCCGGAAGGAACCAACAAGAGAGAGGAAAAAAGCCACAATAGATAGACTTCATTTATCAAAAGTTAAAAAAAAATGTATACATCTATACAAAATAAAAAACGAATTTATCCAGTTTTAAGTTTAGAAGTCTCACAAGCACAAATTATATTCAACTGTCAAA